GTTTATAGGGTAGACGTGAGTTTCCTAACCTCAGAATTGTTCCTTTTCACTCCCACCAGTAGAAGATCAAGAGTTCCAGTAGCTCCACATTTTCACCAAAATTTGCTGCGTTTGTGTATAGTAGTATCTCTTGCATTTCTCAATAATAATGGAACAGAGTCCTAAGTGTTTACTGCCCATTTACGTATCTTGCTCTCCATGTCTTTTTCCACTTTAGAAAATTGTGCTTACTGACTGTCACGAGTTGGTATGTTCCAATTAAAAAAAATCTTTATCATATATATATATATATATATACACACACACACACACATACACACACACACTCAATACTTTTTTTTTTTAAAAAAAATTTATTTTTGCATAGGGGGTAGGCCAGAGGTATAGGAGGTGAGAGGATTCACCAGAGACAGAGTGGGGCGCAGAGCAGGTGGATCTACAGAAACACACTGTTGAGGGGAACAGCAGGTGAGACAGGAGAGGTCTGCTGGGTTAGCAAACTGGCTGGGATTGAACTCAGCCACCAGAGGCCCAATATTTTCTTTTCTTTTTTTTTAAGATTTATTTATTTATACAAGCACTGGTTACAGCCAGAAGCATGGACGGGTGAGAGAATTCACCAGAGCCAGAGTGGGGAACAGACAGACGAAATACACTGCTGAGGGGAGCAGCGGGCACAGCAGGAGAGGTCTGCCCACCATGTGGGACCCTCGCTGGCCGGCCGGGGATCAAACCGGTGCCGCAGAGGCTGCCGGCAGCTTCGCAACCCAGCGCTCAACCACTGCACCACCAGGGAGGCCCCCAATATTTTCTTAATGCCTTTTGTGCATAGATTTAATTTTTTTTTTTTTTTTTTGGTGGGACCCTCGCTGGCGGCCTGGGAACGAACCTGCACTGCGGGCAGCTTCGCAGCCCAGCGCTCAACCGCTGCGCCACCAGGGGAGGCCCCAAATTTAAAATTTTTAAGTTCAGTTTATCACATTTTCCTTTCAGGATTAGTGTTTTATATATGTCTGCTCCAAAAAAGGTGTGGCTGAGGTCACAGATTCTCAAATTTTCCTCTAGAAACTTTATAGTTTTAGTTTTTAATCCACTTTAAGTTTTTTTGAATAGATTATGTTTTTGTTTATGCATACAAGAACTGGGGTGTAGCCCAGAGGTGTGGGGATTGAAAGGATTCATCAGAGACAGAGTGGGGAGCAGAACAGGTGGATCTACTGAAAATGCTGAGGGGAACAGAGGGCAAGACAGGAGAAGTCTGCTGGGACATGTGGGTCAGCTCCCTGACTGGGGATCAAACTGCAGCGGCTGGTGATAGCTTGATTGGCTTGAGACTTAACCCCTCTGCTACCAGGGAGGCCCTAGCATTATGGGGCAGAGCATGTATGGCAGAGATCAGGGTTTTTTCTTTCTGGATATTCAGATGTTTTAGTCCCATCTTTAGCGTTTTCCCTACTGAACTGGACAATTGTAAACCAGAGACATCCTGCAGGGGAGGAGGAAGAGGGATCAGAGGGGGAGGGAGGAGCACAGGGGGCTGTGGTGATGATACACGGGTGCACTGGTGAAGGAAACTCTATGGGGGTACACCTGAGGGGTGGGGGGAAGCAAATATTGTTCAAAAATGAACAATGATGTAAAAAATACGTATTATTTGACTATGTATAATACCTTAACTTTTGCCCAGTTCTCACTGAACTTTCTCTTCCACAAGTAGCTTGATTTTTGTATTTTTTGGTGATCTCTGGAAATCGTATTTATTGTAGAATGTAAATGTCTACTGTATTAAGGTCTTTTTTTTTTTTGGTTAAATAAAAATGTTTAAATATTTATTAATTTTTGAAAATATTTATGTATTTACATCATTGTTCATTTTTAAACAATGTTTGCTCCCCTTCCCCCAGTGTAGTCGCCATAGAATTTACTTCACCAGTGCACCGTGCACCATCACCTCAGTCCCGCGTTCTCCCTCCTCCCTCCATCTCCCTCCTCCTCCCCTACAGGATGTCTCTGGTTTATCATTGTCTGTTGGCTTTTGTTTTGTTTTGTATTATTTTTTCTCTCTGATAACTTATTAATTTCTCCTATATTCCTCCTATAAGTGAAACCATCTGATATTTTTCTTTTTTAAGGTGTACTTCATTCTAATAGACACAGAAGGGACTTGAAAACCTAATAGACAAGGAAAGGTGCAGGGCCCAAGATGGTAGTGAAATAGCAAGAGTTCATTGTTAACCAATAGAATGCAATAAGGGAACTGAAGTGTGTTAGCTGACATTTTTGAAAGTGAATTTTTTTTTTCTCTAGGCCTTTAAACTTCTATTGGAGATAATTTTACAGCAGTCATTTTCCTTGTCCATAGCAATTATTTCTGATTTTATATAATGACTCTCTTATAAAAAGGAATCAGAAAAGTTCAAACCTTTCTCTATCCCATATCCATAATTTGGAGAATTCCAGTAGAATTTAGCGATGGTAGGCAACTTGAACGATTACAAATGTCAAAGAAAATGAAAGAAATTACTTGACTGAATATGCATCAGTCTATTTGTGTACCAGTTACCATACTACTAATTACAGAAGGTTTATAGTTTAATGATTGGAAGTTTTTATTTTTCATTTTTTCCTTGCCATTTCAATAATTGAGGGTTTCTCTATCATGTCTTTTAACTGGCTATATTTTGCACTTACGAAGGAACTGACATCTGCCTGTTATTTTCTGAGTCAATCATTCATGTTCAGAAGTTCTCTGGGCACACCAGGAATCACCAGACTATAAAGGGCAAAAAACAGTAAATATTTTTCGTTAAGTGCTCTTTAAAAATGTGAGAATTATTGTTAGCCTGAGAACCGTCCAGAAACAGACATCAGTAGTTGACTGCTACATATAATCTGCAAATAGTTCTGCTTTTTACTGAGCCTTATGAGGCTAATTTTTCTGCATAGTATAGACTTGTAGTATGGAAGAACAGCTGTGGAGACAGTCAGCAGCCTTCTTACCTTGTTCTTGATGTTAGTAAAAGGTATCTAGTGGTTTTCCATTAAAATACTAGCCTTAGGATTAAGTATTGTGTTAAGTATGTATCAGTTCTATTTCTTGAACTATTTTTTAATGTAAATTTTATTTTTATATCCCCCATACAATTACAACCCCCTTATTTTGACCCCAATCCCTCCTTTCCCCGCTCCCCAACCCCCATAGAGTGTCTCTGGTTCATAGTTGTTTGTTGATTTTGATATTTTCCTTCTTATAGTTATTCTTTTTCCTGGTCCCTTATTTAAGTTTTCTAGATTCCTGCTATGAGTGAGACCATCCGGTATTTTTCTTTTTCTTTCTGGCTTATTTCGCTGAGCATGATCCCTTCCAGCGCCATCCATGCTGCTGCAAATTGCATGTGTTTATCTTTTTTGAATGCTGAGTAATATTCCATGGTGTATATGTACCACATCTTCTTGATCCAGTCATCTATTTTTGGGCACTTGGGTTGTTTCCAAAGCTTAGCTATTGTAAATAGTGCTGCTATAAACATAGGGGTGCAGGTGCTCTTTGGAATTGATGTTTGTGTCCTTTGGGTAAATACCTAGCAGTGGAATTGCTGGATCCTATGGAAGCTCTATGTTTAGTAGGTCCAGAAATCTCCACACAGCTCTCCATAGTGGTTGGACCAGTTTGCACTCGCATCAACAGTGCAGGAGAGTTCCTTTTTCTCCACACCCTCGCCAACATTTGTTGTTGCTAGTTTTTTTAATATGTGCCATTCTCACTGGTGTAAGATGGTTTCTCATGGTAGTTTTGATTTGCATTTCCCTGATGACAAGTGATGCTGAACATTTTTTCATATGCCTGCTGGCCATTTGCATTTCCTCTTCAGAGAAGTTTCTTTTTAGCTCTTCTGCCCATTTTTTGACTGGATTATTTTCTTTGTTTTTGTTGAGTCTCATCATCTCTTTGTAGATTTTTGTGATCAGTCCTTTATCATTCATGTTGTGTGCAAAAATGTTCTCCCAGTCGGTGGGGTTTCTCTTTGTTTTTGTTATTGTCTCTTTTGCTGTGCAGCTCTTTAATTTGATGTAGTCCCAGCTGTTGATCTCTTTGCCTTCACTATCACTGCTTTGGGTGATGTGTCTGTAAAGATGTCTTTGATGTGCATGTCATGTAGTGTTTCATCTATATTTCCTTCTATGTATTTTATGGTTTCAGGTCTTATGTCTAGTTCTTTAATCCATTTTGAGTTGATTTTTGTGTATGGTGTGAGGTAGTGGTCAAGCTTCATTCTTTTGCCTGTAGGCGACCCAGTTTTCCCAGCACCATTTATTGAACAAACTTTCTTTGCTCCAATGCATAGTCTTTGCTCCTTTGTCAAAGATTAGTTGACCATAAATCTGTGGGTTTATTTTTGGATTTTCTATTCAATTCCATTGGTCTGTGTGTCTGTCTTGAACTATTTTTTATAAGGAATAGGTTTTGAGGTTTTTTTGGTGTTTTGTTTTTTTGGTGTGTAGGTAATTGTAGGATTTTTCTGCCTTGGATCTTTTAATATGGTATATTCTACATGATATTAGTTGTCATTTTCTTAATGTGATGTTAAATTTTTTTAGTAATATCTTAATTAAAAAATTTTGCATAGTACTCTCATGAACGATACTGGTTTGTGTGTTTTTGAAGTATACTGTTTGATAAATTCTCCTTTATTTTCAATGCATTGGAACAATGTGGTTGAAAAGGTGACTTGAATTCCTCCCTGAAGGAAATGAAACCATCTGGACCAGTTTGGCGGTGGGGTGGGGGGAGGGGTGCTTGGTATTTTTGTGTGTGTGTGTGTGTGTGTGTGTGTGTAGTAGCTTGTTTCTATGGAGGTTTATTTGCTTAAGTTTCTTACTCTGTTTAAAGCCATTTACTGTTACTGTAAAGCTATTTCATCTGGGCTTTAAAATTTATTAGTATTGAAATAGGCAAAGTAATCATGTGTGAATTAAAAAATGACTTGTTCTTTTTGTGTACTTGTATTTTCTGTTCTCTCTCTCCCCTGCTCTAATTCAAAAGTCAGCAGTTTTTGATAGTTTAAATTAGGTCTGTTTTCTCTGTATTTTATTCTTGCTTTTGCCTATATTTCCTCCTTTGCTTACTTTGTTTTCTACTTAAGTGACTTATTCTTTGCATATATTCCATAATTTCTGACATGGAATATTTTCATTATTTAAGATCTTTTTTTCTTTAATTTTGCTGCTTCTTTCACCTACAAGTCTTTATATAGAAATCTTAATTTCTAGGTAGGAGTCTTCTTGTTTTGTTGATCAAGTCTTACTGAGTTTTGATGAGTGTTTGTATTATTTCACTTTAATTGAACTCTGATACCTTGTTACCTAATACTTCTATGAATGTTTTATGTTCACTTGAGAAGATATGTATCAATCAAACTTACTGTTCTGGTTAATGAATATATGTTCCTATCTACTTCACCAATTATTTTGATTATTTTGTTTAGTTTTTGTTTTTTTTTAAGATTTATTTTTGTGTAGAAGAACTGAGGTATAGGCCAGAGAGGTGCAGGGTGTGAGAGGACTCACCAGAGACAGAGTGGGGAGCAGAGCAGGCATAGTGAGTTGAGATACACTGCTGAGGGGAACAATGGGTGAGACAGGAGAGGTCTGTTGTGCCATATATGGGTTAGCTCTGCAAATGGTTTCTACTAGTCTGAAATACCTTTTTTCATACCTCTACTGTTACACTTTCTGAATCTTAAGTATGTTTTTTGAATACAGTATGTTATGCCTGACTTAGTAAGCCATGTTGAAGTGTTTCTTAATTTACTTAAAAATGATACATATGGTCTCAAATTTGTTGTAGGTGTTATGGTTATGTATTTGCTACATTACTTTTCCCAATCATGTCTTCATTGCTCCTTAATTTGAAATAGTGTTTTCTGGTATTTAGATGGTTTATATTTGTCTTGGTCACCATTATTTAAGCTTTTGCTATCTTACAGTTTTAATGATGTTCTTTACTACTATTGGAATATTCATATGCTTATGCTATTTTCTTTCCTTCTCAGTATTTGTTATATGCAACATTTATAGGTTAGTCTTTTATCCATTCCTTGGTATTTGTCTTAATGAGGATTTTAATATATCCAAATACATCACTATCAGTTCTTTCCTATACTTTTTTCAGTTATTTGTTGGTTGGATAATGCTTAGTGTATTTCTGAAGGACTCATGAATACTATGTCATATGTTTAAGTGACAAGACCAAGACTTAGGGTGTCTCCTTGTCAATTCTGTGCCTTTTCTGCTGCACTTTATCACTTACTACCCTTGTTATTGGACACTGACTGTCCAAGCTGGTAAATCACCATTAGGTTTGTAGTATCTTTTTGAAGGTTCATGCCTTTTATCACTTTAGACTGGTTTGGGTGATGTATTATGAATTGCTTGTCTTACTGATGCCTTTTTAAAGATTTAACTTTTCCTCCTTCCTCTTACCTTTCAGGCCCAAGCCATATGTCATTTTATATTCGAACTCACAACGGGTCAACACTTTCTCAGTGGTCTCTTGGCAGTGGCACCCCAGTCACAAGTAAAGGAGGGGATTACTTTGTATTTTACTCCCATGGACTCCAGGCTTCTGCATGGCAGTTTTGGATAGAAGTACAGGTGGGAATTTCCCGGTACTGCTTGTATCATACATAAATCAAGTTCCCAGGTGGTATTTGGCAAAATCCTTGGGATTAATATTTTGTCTCCGTAGAAGTAGAGAACTCACTAACTCTCTCTGCTAGGTCTTGGAAGAACAGCCTGAAGGAATGATCACTGTGGCCATTGCTGCCCACTATTTTTCTGGGGAAGACAAGAGATCCTCCCAGCTGGATGCTCTGAAAGAGAAGTTTCCAGATTGGACATTTCCTTCTGCCTGGGTGTGCACCTACAACCTCTATGTGTTTTAATCTTGCGGATGAGCTCTAAGTACATGTCCAGTGGGATACTCCATGTGACATAATTTGTCCCTGTGTTACACAGATGAAACGTAAGTCAATGAATCTTAATGAGTATATGTTCAAAGAGATTTGTGAGTTGACACCCTTCCAAAGGCAGAGTGCTCTAATGGTTCCACTGTGGGGTAGGGATGCACAGCCTATTCAACACTTGAAAATGCTAGTTTTCTAGCATGTAGTAAGCACATGTGGGTATTGCCACTACACACACATTTTATATGAACAGAAGCCAACAAACCACTTCCGTAGTTGTCCCCTTAGGCTGGTGAATGATGTATGAGGTACTGTAAGACCATTATTAATGAGACAAATGTCATATCCATTTAAAGCATGAGACCACTTGTGTCAGTGGATGATAGGTAAATATCATTCACCTCGTGGTAACGATTCCCCTCTTGAGGCCTCATTCTAGGTCTTTGGAAAGCTACTGCAGGGAGGACTGGGGAAGAACCATTGGACTTTTGTGTCCCCAGGCTGTGCTTAAGAGCTCTGCTTCTTCAGGCAGCCTGCTTTCCACCTCTGCACTGAACCCCAGGACTCCTGATGTGGATCCCTGTGCTGAGTTGATGCCTTGTCATTCTGACAAGTCACCAAGATTCAACCTTGTGGTTTTCTGTTTTCCTCCGAAACACATCTGATCCCTTTCTCTACCTTACCGCTTGGAGAGGAGGATCATTTGCCCAGCTACTCTTCCCTCTGGGTTTTCACAGGCCCTTCTGGTTCAGAATACTGTTTGTGCAAGTACATGACCCTAACTTCCTCAGAGTGCTGAGTTGCCATGGTGGCTATTCTGAGGCGGGAGGAGAGTTGGGAGTGATAGAGCATTTTATGAAGATCCATTCCCTGTTTCGTAGGAGTCTTCTGATAGACAAGGTTAATCATTTAGACCTTGCTTTTAATGCACTGTGTCCGTGTTTTTGTCTGTTTTCCTGCTCTTTCAACAGTTTCGGTAACTTACTGTCCAGCATACTTGGCTTTCCCGAGACTTGAGGTTGTGGTTTGTACTGGAATGAGGTCCCTGTACATACAGTTTTAGTGTTTAGATTTCTGCATAATGGCAGTCATGCAGCATATCATAACAGTGCCACTCATGAATTCTTGGCTCAAATAGTGGAAAGGTTTGGTGAGATCAGTGATTAAGTTACTCGAGATACATAAAAAGTTGAACAAATGTTGAGTTTAGCAAGTAGAGACTCCACTTGAAGCTCTTTGTGCAAAGTGTTCACGATATTTTCTGAATTATGCTCCTCACAATCTCTGCCTAATTTGTGACTCCTGAAAAACTGGACCCACAGAGCAGGGCTGCAGCCCGAGAGCTGAACAATGACGTGGCCTGCATACTGGAGCCACTTTTCCCAGGTATTGTAGAAACCATATATTAAGTTTGAAATATTTTAAATGTGTGGCTCCTGCCGCACTTAAGGTTTGCAATGTTCATAGCTTGTATAGAATCACAGTTGTGGAGAACTTAGAAATAGTAATCTCAGTGAATTTCCAAATATAGGCAGATTTGTGCTCATTGTGTTTATTCTGAAATAGATCATTAGAAATTGTTGGAGGGGAAAAAAAAAAATCCAAACCCCAAGTGTTGAAGAAAACAAATTATTTTCTGTTACCTTTTTTCCCCTTTGGGGAGGATGTTGAATATTCCTTTCTAGTAGTAATCATGGTTTTGTTTAGCATTATAAAGCTTTGATATTGTGCAAGGTCAGAAACAAGAGGTTCACTAGTTGCAGGGCAATAAAACTCTGGGAGGTGGTTTTAATGGCAGAAATAATTGCACCTAATATTTATGGCTCCGTTAATAAGCATGCTGTCAGATTAGCAGCCTCTGAGATGAAAAATACCTGATTTGAATAACCCATTTTTTAAAGGGTCTTTTTAAATTCTAAGTACCACAGTATAGTACTGCACATTCAGGGAACGTGTGAAGAAATTATTTTTTGTTTGATCTAAGAATGATTGTTGCATGAATTGTTTGTTTTCCACAGTTAAGTGTGATAGGATCCTGACATGTTATCTCCAAGGGGGCCATAAGCGACCCTGTTGACTCAGGAAGATGTAGAAAGAATGATACTGTCTGTTTTTCATTGCTGCCTTACAATGTTACTGAAATAAATGTTTTAATATACTATTAGGTGGTATCTTTAACAGAAAAACTTATCTTTGTTCTCCTGTAAACCCCCATTTTGGGGGGCATTTCAAATATAGAGCTTTTTTGTAAGTTAACCAAAAAATGCTGTTAAAAGACTTACATTGCGCATGTAGTGGGGGTATATAAATGGTATTTTAATATTGGGTTGCCAGAAAAGTCTTTTTTTTTTCAAGCAAAAATGCATCATGTTCCCTACAATCCAATAGATGTAAGCAAAGAACGTCACTTAGAAAGTATTCATTTTCTGGAATCCTATTTACCTGTGAATGAAATGATGCAGAAATAAAATGACCTAGAATTTGGTAAATGTTGGACTTCAGCATGTTTAGGGGTTCCAAAATGTTTCCAAGTTATTTCACTGAATACCCTCAGTGCAGCATATAGTGAAGCAAACAACTTCCATGGTTTCCACCTGTATTTGAAAGTAGAATTTCCTGTATGTGGTGGGTCTTATTTTTTGAGTCTGGGAATACTCAATAAAATTGTGTGTAAGTTACTAGTTTTAGCATTCCTACACCCAAAAAATAACCCACACAGTATAAATGGTGCAGTTTTGTAATGTGTGGGAAAGCATGTAGTCCTTAACACATAGTGGCCTTCTTTTAGGGCCAAAATGCATTAAGTGCTTTTAAACTGTCTTTTTACAAAATAAAAATTGCCTTTCTCCAAGTTTGACCCAACAGCATGACCAAGTGGGATTTATCCTACGAATGCAAAGTTGGTCGAACATCTGCAAGTCCGTTAATGTAAGACAATAAAGGACCACCTCAGTAAGTGCAAAAAATAATTTTTGGACAAACCTCCAACATTTTTTTCATGAGGAAAAAAGACTAGAAGGGAAACTTCCTCAACCTCATAAAGGTAAGGTCATAGAACTGTTAACATAAGGGAGTATGGGAGGCGTTCCCTCGTAAGACAAGTCCAATAATATTGCCACTTCTACTAGAAGTTCTAGCCAGTGCACTTTTGCAAGAGGCGTGTAGATTACTTAAGGTATCTTTAGTTCAGATTGCATCTGTTAGTTGTAAAAAATCCTAGGGAACCCATGCAAAACTACTAGTTAATGAATGAATTTAAAAATGTTTCACATACTATTAAGACATTTCTGAAAGAAAGTAAAGGTGACATAACTGGAAAACATGCTCATGGGTTAGAAAGCTTACCAATTTAGGTGGAACTAGTCTTCAAATTGATTAATATACTGAATATAATCCCCATCAAAATCCCAGCTGCCTTTTGTAAATATACACCAAAATTGACTGTAATGTTGCTTTTTAGGAACTTTTGAAAGTATAATCAAGGCAGCAAGTACTGGCATTAAGGACATAAATTATAACTGATAATCCAGTGGGGGGGGAAATCATTTTAGTAAAAGGTATACACACAGAGAACTGCAGAGCCTCCACTTATGCCATAAGGGGGGGAAAAAAAAACCCTCATATAGGAGCTAAATTCATAGAAGGAATCATAGGCACAACTCTTCATAATCTTAGGTTACACAATACAACACCAAAAGCACAAATAAATTGGACTTTGGAAAAGTAAAATGTTTATATTTCAAAAGATGTGATAAGGTAAATGACCAAAGATGAATAGACATTTTTCTCCAAACACCATAGTAACGTTTAAAATCACGTGAAAAGACAGTAGGGAAATGCAGATCTATATAGTTAACCACTTTATACAAAATAGTACAGGTTCTTTGTAATACGGCTTGGCATTTCCTCAAAAAATTAACCATATTATATGACCGAGCAATTCCACCCCTAGAGAACTCACAAAATACATTCATGATAGTCAAAAAGTGGAACCAACCCAATGTCAGGCAACTACTGATGACTATTCAGCTTTAAAAACATGCTAATAAAAGAAAACAGAGAAAGCCACATGGGTGATTCCATTTTACAACATATCCAGATTAGGCAAACCTGTAAATATAAAAAGCAGATGTACGAATACTGGAAACTAAGAAAAAGTCATTTTCAATTCCACCTTTTAGAGATGACGCATAGTCTCTTACAGACTTACACACTGATTTCTATCCACCAAAGACAGTTTTACATATTTTATGCCAATCTAATATTCTCAGGCATCTAAGGATATTTGTCAATTCTTGTTTTTATTCTAAAAGGTGGAATTACTCTATTTGCTGTTAACCTGAGATGAATAAACGAAAGTTTATATAATGGTTTTATTGCCCTTTACCACATAAAAAAATACACATTACAGAAGTAGCAGCAACTTGAATTACAAGCTAATGTTGACTCTACCCCAAAATGATCTCTTTTGGTATCAGCAAATAAATGTATCTAGTAAAATTCTAAGTTATACTGAATATTTAATTGGATAAAATTATGGCTTAAACAGTTGATATGTGAACCAGGTAAAATAAGGGTTTTTTGAAGGTATATAGTAAGAGAAATTTTATGTCCACTTACCAGTTCTTATTTTTACTTCAGGGCTGACCATTTGTGTTAGTTGAAAAAAACGCATTTCATAGAAGATTCACTTACAGGCTTTAAACCACAGGAACGTAGTTAACTTACGATGTCCTGCTTTTAATATGAACCCAGCAGCACGTTAGGTAGGATATTTGAAAGGATCACATCTGTTTACAACGGTAAATCACTTTTATTGACTGAATATTTACACCAAAGACAAACGTAATGCTGGTTCTTCTCCTTAATGCAATAGGACAGAACAAATTTCAATTTCTTGCTGGGCTGCATGTACTCACATGGCAAATGATTATTTTTCCTTAGATTCAGGGAAAGGTGGTTGATTTAAAACAAAGATTTAAATAAAAGTAGCACCAGAAGGACCAGGTACCAATAAATCACATATTCCACTCACTTTGGAGCTTCAGTATGTGAAATTATTGCACTTGTAAAGAGTAAATGATACTAAATTACCAAAATGAATAGTTTAAAATAGTTTCATAAATTTTGAACTAAGCAATTTCAAAATTGTTTTTTAAGTTTCCCTTCAAAGGAAACCTGGCTAGAACAACTGATCTTGCCTTTTACTGTAAAAGGACCAAGTTTTAATTCTAAGCTGTAATTGCACTATGAGAAGAGGCTGTTTTACATAGTGGTATGAATTTGGTCCTCATCAATACACTATTATAAAAATAAGTTTGTTTTTGTAAAAAATAACATTGCATTCCTTTGTTCAAATTGCACAGTACAAACGAGCTATCTAAATTAATACTGTTTTATAAGATAATCAGAAATACATACAGTAGATATGTTTAGTTGGAAGCAATTAAAGATATGCAGTTATGTTTTCATAACATGAAAACTAAAATTTCCGTCATATCTAGAAATACATATTTAAAAACTTACAATGAAGAATGTGTTCTTTACATTCTAATTTTTAGTAGCCATGATAATACAGGATTCAGCAGTCTATTTACATTAAAGTTCATTTTTATTCCAATTTACAAAACCAATAAATAAGAAACAACATTAATTTGCACAAAGCCTGTTTCATTTCATGATCAGTATGACCATTTCTGGTTCCTTTATGACTAAGCCAATAGACCTGTCTTTCTTTATGAAGAGTGCTCATATTTGAAAAGAAGAGCAAGCCCTATTTTTATCCCAAGGGTAGCTATAGCCATGCAGAATTCAGCAGAAAACCTTAAAAATTATAATACAAGGCCTAAAAATATGAACAGTATCCTTGGGTATATATACATAAGAGTATTCACAAAAAGATATGATTCTTTGATAAAAATAGTTTACGGGTATCTACAGCATAATTGATAAGAAATCCTCAGAGTCTGCCTACACTCACCTAGCAGGAATCAATCTTGCTAAAGCAGACATAGACTTCTCAGGTAACTAGCTTCCATCAAGTCTCCATGACACTGGCACATGTTTAAAGGCAGATATCTATTCAGGAGTCCCAATGACGGTGTGCAGTGCTCTCAAACACTTAGCTGAACTTCTGATAAGCTAGAGCAAGCACCTCCACTTTGAAAAAGTAATTGGGACACACACGCTGTTTAGAAAACATGTAAGAAGCTATAAGCAGTGAAAAGGTAAATTCATCCGGGGCATGATAATCCCTACGGAGTAAGAGAAGAGCTACCAACCCTTAAGAATAAAACCAAAATATTCTCATGTACATCCATACAATAAATATTCTTTATTACTTTCCATTGCAGTTAAAAACACCTCTTAATGAAAGATGATTTGATATCACATATTTATGGAGTCAGATAGATTTCTTAGAGAGTTGTTTAAAATACAGTAATACTTTACCAGTCTCTGAGCTTTCTTTCTCTCCTTGGTTAAACCATCCAACTACGTCACAGTGTCCTCAGTTGCATGCTGCTGCCAATTAATACTGCCCGTGGTGATGGTACACCATTGTTAGGACACAGAACAGTCGTAAGTCCCATCCTGAAAAGGTTCCTCCTCTGCTGGGGTTGCGTCCTCCTCTTTCCGGTTGACCATACTGCTGCTTCCAACTTCACCCTGAGGGATATTTCCATGGCCCGAGGAGCCCCTGCTCTCCTCTGCCCTGGGGTTAGTCTGTTCAGGAGTCTTACCCACCGTGATTGGCTGGAAAGCTTCAGGCTGGACCTGCTCTTCCATTATCTCACTGAGTTTCTGCAGTTGTGGCTTAATAATATTTAAAAATGGCTTATATCCAGGGCTAAGCAGAGAAAAAAGGAAATTAGCTCTCATCATTCACAATCAAAAGATTCTGCATAGTGTCATACATTCTTATAACGCTGATGCAGTAAGGCCAGTGAAAGATTATGGGGAGGTGGCACAAGGAAGAAAGGCTTCTTAGGTACCCTACTGGTTGTCTACCACAAATGGAGATGCACAAGCACTAATCTTAAATTTCTGAGACTTACGAGCAAAGTTTGGCTTTTATTTTTTTAAAGATTTATTTATACAAGCACTGGGTACAGTCAGAAGCGCGGGAGGGTGAGAGAATTCACCAGAGCCACAGCAGGGAGCAGAGCAGGCAGAAGGACCAAAGTACACTGCTGAGGGGAGCAGCATGTGGCAGGAGAGGTCTGCGCGCCATGTGGGACCCTCGCTCGGTGGCCGGGGATTGAACCGGAGCTGCAGAGGCTGCAGGCAGCTTCGCAACCCAGCGCTCAACCGCTGCGCCACTGGGGAGGCCCCATTCTTCATTTTTAAAGATTTTATTTTTCTGGAGAACTCAGGTGTAGGCCAGAGGAGTTGGAGGTGAGAGGATTCACCAGAGAAAGCAGAGCAGGCAGATCTACTGAAATACAGTGCTGAGGAGAGCAGCAGGCAAGACAGGAGAGGTCTGCTGGCACCATATGTGGGGTTAGCTCCCTGGCCGGGAATCGAACTCAGGCTGCAGAGGTGATAGAGCTGAGATTTAACCCCTATACCACCAGGGTGGCCCTATCAAGTAAAATTAAAATTCAGATTCTACAGAACTGAACTTTTTGACTTGAAAAAAGACCTGCAAAGAACTTCTAAGCTAATTTGCTGATTAAGGAAAATTAGGTCCAAGTCCACATAGACAGGGCTGGAACCTAAGGCTCTTAAGCACACATACACTTAATTTGGCCTTTCAAGATTCAGCAGTCTCTTTACCTTTTTAAATCTGGGCTTTCTGAATGTTAAATCCACGTACACCTTAAATTTTTATCTTTTCAAATAGACGTGTAGGTTATTACCTTCAATTCCACAAAACTATAAATCTCAACTTCTTAGATCTTTTGCACATCATTAATCTTAAGTTACTGACAAGCGTAAAAAATAAAAACAAACTCACTATCTTGATGGACATTACTCATCTAAATGATTGGGTATGGAACAATAGAGAAAGCAGTTTTAAAATGAACATATGAAAGCATTTTTTTTTTAACCAAACTAAAACTCTCCAACTACATAAACCAGAACTAAGTCTTAGTGTGAAAGGAAAGGATCAACCAAAAGAAAGCCAAATAATCTCAAGACAATCAGCACTCACCAATCCGTAGAAGCCCATCGGTCTACTGCATGCAGCCCTGTCTTTATATTTCGTAACATCTCTCCATCTACCTCTGAAGACTGTATAATGACCAAAATCTGGTTGATTATTGAGGATTCTCTAAGAATCAGACCTATGACAATGCACCAGTCCAGACATCCCGCCTCCATGAAGATGTGTAGCAAATATCTACAATATAAGCAGAAGCAAGATGACTGATGCTAAAGATATACAGAAGGTCAGTGATCAACAGGAAGGCAGCCCCTGTATCCTATTTGTCCAGATATTCTAAGTGGACATTCTGTGCTTTAAAAATGTTTAGTAACTCACCGAAGCTGGACCTGGGACTTGTGAGGCCCTTTACTCGCCAACTCCATGGAGATTTGCTCTAGCTCCGACTGAGTTAAACTGAGTGTGGAGAAATTTTCATCCACCATTGTCCAGTCCCCATCCACCATGGAACTGCTTTCAGTCAAGTCTGTGGCTGAACCAATACTGCATTCATCACCTGGTAAAGAATTGCCAAGAGTTATAAACTAGCTTCATATAGAAAATAGGTTTCACTTAATTTTAAATATTAGCTATTTCTCAAATGTCAATTTTCACCTAAGGATTTTGAAACCTTAATATCAAATGCACTGCTTAAATTCCCATGTTATTTTTACAGTTGTAAATGTAAAGATAGATATGTATCATTAGAGAGAGTGACTATGCGTTATTTATCTTTGGATGGAATGACATACTACTACGGTACCATTAAGTAGTCTTGCCTTCTTCCACAAAAATGTAGGTAGAATTTGATCAAGTGTTAGATTTAATTACCAATTTAAAAGGAATGCTGAGGAAACTAAACCATACAGAAGGAATCACCAAAATCCACATTATAAGAGTCAAATTTTCTCAAGAAATAAACCGCAAGGAGGGGAAGATGAATAATCACTAAAATAAGAATTAAAACACAGTAGTGACTCTGAATATTATTCTTCATTCAATTTCTAAAAGCCGTAGGAAACAATGAGAATTTAAATACTGGCTATTAGGAATACCTAGGTTTTTTTGGGAATGATAACAGTATTTTTTTAAGGCACCTACTGATGTGTTCACAAATAAAATGTCTTTGAATCTGATTTACTAACATACACGAGGGGGGAAATGAATGAAACAAATATTGGTAATAATAGAAGTTGGAAGATGGATAAATGGGGGTTGGAGTCATGGTGTACACTATACTACAACCTCTACTTTTTATAATATGTTTGATCTCTTTTAGAAGTTTTCCAAAGAAATTAAGAAAATAATTCCAATCATTTCACAAGACTCATACCTTGGAATTAATCTAACCTAGAAGGTGAAGAAAGACATCTCCTGTTCATGAGACTCCATACAATTAAAATGACTATTCCACCTAAAGTGATATGCAGATGTAACACAGTCCCCATCAAAATATCAACAAAATTTTTAACAGAAAAGTATTGAAATTTGTATGGAACCATCTAAGGCCTCATATAACAAGAGCAATTCTGAGAAAAAGGAATGGAAGCACCATGTTACCTGACTTACCTGCCTTTATACCATAAAGCAACACTAATAACAGTATTGATATATATTAAAAAAAAAAAAAACCCTGATCAATGGAATAGAAAGCCCAGAAATAAATCCACACAAATATTAATAATTTATAATGAAGCAGTCATGCCCATACAAAAGGCAGTAGGCAAAGGAGAATTTCTTCAGTGGTGCTGGAAAAAGTAGAAGGCCAGGTGTAAAAGACAGATCTCACTCTAACCCTATAAACAATAATAAATTCCAAATGGATTAAAGATTTAAAACCTGCAGCAATAAAATATATAAAGCATCGGTGTAAGAGATGCCTTTGGAAAATGGACACTTATGGCAATGGAAATAAAAGCAAAAAGGAATATTTGGGATTGCCTCAAATCAAAAAGCCTTACACAGTAGGAAAAAAGTGTAAGATTAAAAAGACATACTACTGAGAGGCTTCCCTGGTGGCACAAGGGGTTAAGACGCAACCTAGGAAGCTGTCTGTAGCCACTGCAGCCAGAAAGCTTCCCACATGGCCCGGCAGACCTCTCCTGTCTCGCCCGCTGCTCCCCTCAGCAGTGCTTTCAGTCTGCCTGCCTGTTCTGCTCCACTCTCTGTCTCTGGTGAATCCTCTCACCCCCCGCACTTCTGGCCTGTACCCCAGCTCTTGTATGCATAAATAAATAAATCTTTAAAAAAAAAAGACATCTTACTGAATGGCAAAAAATATTTACATATTACACAACTGATAAGGGGTTGATATTATGTAAAAAATTTATATATTCCAATAACAGAAAATCAACCCATTTAATAAATGGATACCAGCTCTGGGGAGACCTGACAACAAATGTCCATGTCAACAGATATTGGAACCAATGATGAATTTTTTCCTTTTAAGAGATATGCAGGTTAAAGCCACAGTGAGTGTGGTGACACACAGCTGAGATGTGCACCTACTCCCCTTAGTCATACAGTATTGTAAGCCAATGTTATCTCCATAAAAATGTTAAAACCACAATGAGATGCCATCTCATACCTGTGAATATGCACATATTAAAAAGACTTCTAACAAGTGGTAGAGAGAAAATGGAGAAAGAGAAATCCTGTTACACTGCTAGTGCTAATGTAAACTACCTCAGCCATAATGGAAATGATATGGATTTAAAAAACTGAAAAATGGAAATAACATTTGAACCAGCATTCGTCTCTTACACATCTATAAAGAAAGTGAAATCACCAACTTGAAACTTAAGTGCTCTACAATGTTTATTGCAACACTATTTACTATACCTAGACCATGAGAGCAACCTATATGCCCACTGACAAAGACTGGATTGAGAAGACGTGATATAATCACACTGGACTACTAATTCAGCCATAAGGAAAACCAAAATGCTGCTGTTTAAAACAAAATGGAAACCATTCAAGGGAATTATGTGCAGTAAAACATGTCAGAATAATAAAGATGAATGCCAGACATTTACATAGACAAATGGACAAAGTACAATACTTATACAAACTAGTGGACATTAATAAACATGTTTGAGGTTCAGAGGAGGAAAGGAGACAAGGTTATGAAAAATAAGTAAATGGCATTTTTTCCCTCTATTTAAAAAAGGAAAAACAAATACCTCACACCCATTAGAAAAGCTACTATTAAAAAACCCCCAAAAATAGGGCCTCCCCGGTGGCGCAGCGGTTGAGCACTGGGCTGCGAAGCTGCCAGCAGCCTCTGCAGCGCTGGTTCGATCCCCGGCCTCCGGGCGAGGGTCCCACATGGCACGCAGACCTCTCCTGCAGCGCCTGCTGCTCCCCTCAGCAGTGTACCTCGTAGATCTGCCTGCTCTACTCTCCCCTCTGGCTCTGGTGAATTCTCTCACCCTTCCGTGCTTCTGACTGTACCCAGTGCTTGTATAAATAAATAAATAAATCTTTAAAAAAAAAAAACCAAAAATATGTGTTGGTGGGGATTTGTAGAGAAATTGGAAACCTTGTCAACACTGGTGGGAATGTAAAATGTTGTGCCTACCAAGGAAAATAGTATGGTGGTTCCTCAAAAAATTAAGAATACAATTACCATATGATCTGGCAATCCCACTTCTGGATATATAGCCTAAAGAACTGCAAGCAGGGTTGTGAAGCAATGCTTGGGTGGAAGTAACCCCAGTGTCCAACAGATGAATGGATAAAATGTGTATACATACATCGGGATTTAATTCACCTTTAAAAGGAAGGAAGCTTTTATGACACTATGCTTTATGCTAAGTGAAAATAAGTCATCCTCAAAAATACTGTATGATTCCATTTATATGGAATACCTAAAAGTCAAATTCATAGAAACAGAAAACAGAATGGTAGTTGCTGATTGCTGCAGGAATGGGGAGTTGTTATTTAATGTGTGTGGACGATTAGTTTTGCAAGATCAGAGTTGTAGAGGTTAGTTACTCAACAATGAATGTAGCTAACGCTGCTGAACTGTACACTTAAAAAGACAGTAAATTTGACTATTTGTATTCTACCACATATTTTTTAAAAAGGCAGCAGCATTAAGTCTCTCTAAGTAGCAGAATCTCAGGTAACACTGATGGCAGACTGAAAATCAAACTAAGCAAATGCCTGGTCACAGGAATCAACTGCAGAAAGTCAGACAATTGCTACTTAAGCTCCTATAATTATGTTCACCTAAACAACGTAAGTCACTTTTAAACTTTTCAATTTGTAATTTACCTATTACTACCGAGCACGGGTTAGCATACATTTTTTTAGTAAGGGGTCAGATAGTAAATATTTTAGATACGGAAGACTAAGAAACAAAGTTAAGAATAGAGGAACTTATAAGAGAGAAAGAAAAGTTAACACAAATTTTCATTAATAAAAAATATGACAACCAATTTTTTATGATACAGGCCTTCCTATGAGAAGAATGGAATCCCCTATGGGGATGATGTTTTGCCTTGAGGTTTCTGACGCATCAAAATTGTGTAGGTTCATCAATTAGCACTGATCTGTTGAAATAAATATAGTCAAGGCCATTTTGCCTTTGTTTCAGTAACTGTCCATGGTTCTAGCAGATACTAGTGGCTAATCCTAAAGGACACATCTTGAAAGAAAAGAGTGAACCCCGAAGTGCTACAGTCCTTAAACTTTCTTCTGAAGCAGCTGAAGAAGAGCTAAGATTTAAAATGACATTTACCTTTATTAGATAAAGGTGACAGGAAGGCATCTTGCATTTGTGGTCCATGTGATGAGACTGTGTCTATCTCAGGATGGGCTGGGCCAACGTTGCCGAGCCAGCTTTGACTTCGTTGGACATTAGAGACTCCAGCATCTATCTCAAGGTTTAAAAAAGGGTCAGCTGACTGAGACTTTAACAGCTGCTCTCCCACTGCAAGGTAGCCAAAACCAAAGAAAGAAAATGGGAGAAATTTAAGATGGCATACACTGTCATTTCCAATTTATCTTTTTTAAAGCTTCTCTCCATCCGAATGTGAAAGTTCTAAGTCAATTTCTGTCTTATACTGTATCATCTCATAAACCAGGGATGTTGGATTGTTAAAAAAAACACAAAACAAAAAAAAAAACCCAACTACATAATGCCATCTAGCAGTCATACCATTACGTATCTTACCAGAACTAAGCAAAACTTTATTCTGTTCATCTTTTAAGTGACTTTTCATTAGTTTTTTATTATGCAAGAACTTTCCAAATATCATAATAAAAGGTTTTTGTTGAAAAGTCTATACATATAAGTGGAACAGCTTTCTTCCTTTTTTTCTTTTTTGGAACAGTTTTCTTTAAACACCTGAACTGAAACACTCTCTTTTCCATCACCAAAATAGTTGCACTTTGTCCTAGTATAGAAGATGACCCCAGCTCTCAAAGATGTATTTTTGCTATTTGTCCGGGATGAGTTCTGTCAGATAAGTCACAATGTTGCTTATTTTGAGGTCCATGTCTAGCCAGTTCTAAAACTCTTTACCACAGTAAGCCAAGTGTGGTAGTTTTTTTATTTAGCCAGTTCAGGTTATTGAAGATAACTGGAGGTGACTAAAGTCATATATTTAAGTTATACTTACAGGTCTCAAGACTTAGAGACATAGGTTCTACTTTGTATACACCCTTGGTCAAATGGTGGCTGTTCCAACGAATGTACAGAAAATTGGCTTTTAACTGCTCCTGGGTTTAGAATGCAAAGCCGCCTTAAACAACTAACAACACAATGTCTTAATAGTGGGAATAAAATTCTCCTTGTGCAAATGACAGTCTTCATTACCTGTTCGGTATTTTCCATTCTTGAAAGGAGAACTGATAGAAGAGGCTGGGATAATGGGAAATGGCCACAAAAAATCCTTGTGGAGTCTCTTCAGGGCTGACACAAAGTTGTCTACCCGGGCAGCCCGGGTGCGTTCCTTGCATAGCCAGCTAATAAGTTCAAAGCCCAGCTGGGCAGCAAAGCAGCCAAGGTCCTTTAGTCGAACTTCTTCTAAGAGGTGCCGAGCATGTCTCCAAAGCATCATGTCAATATACATGTTCTCAGCACAGTCACTGTCTTTGCTCCATCTGTGAGTGGGAAGACAAGAAAGGTACAGAACAATCTTTATTCTGACAACATCGTATGCTTTATGCAGAAGTGCTGATAATGCTGACAAGGTCGTATGGTAAGAGATCCAAGATTTCTGATTGAGGAGAAATTTAAATATCAGGGCTCCTCCACGTGATACCAGGATTCATTGAATTATAGCTGGAACACAGCAAGCTCTTAAAACATATAGTGTAGACACACCTGCATACCTTGTTTTATTGAGTTTTGCCCACATTGTATTTCTTACAAAGGTTTGTGGCAACCCTGGTTTGAGTAACTCCACCATTTTTTGAACATCATGTGGCCAACTGTCCACATGACAGATTAACTAAGATATATATATATATATCATTTTTTTAAGACCTGAAACTATTGCACAATAGACTACAGTATAAACATTACTTTTATATGCACTGGCGAACAAAAACATTTGTGTGACTCAATTTATTTCAATATTCGTTTTATTGAGGTGGTCTTTAACTAAACGTTTACTACAATATTTCCAAGGTGTGTCTGAACAAGGTACAGGGAAAAACAGGAGACAAAGCCAGACCAGGAAAAGGGTGGTGACTGGTTGAAAAAGAAAGGGAATAAAGGTAGCACTTGAAATGACCAATTAAAACAGGAAGGATGATCAGATCAAAGAAAATAAGGGCAGGGAAGTAAAGTGAGATGACACATCTAAAAAAAGCCAATTTTTTGGGCAGAAGAACTTAAAAGACATTTTTCCAAAGAGGAAATACAAATGCCCAACAGGCATATGAAAAATGTCGGAGAGGATGTGGTGAAAAAGGAACTCCTACCTTGCTGGTGGGAGGGCAAACTGGTCTAACCACTATGGAAAGCTGTCTGGAGGTTCCTCGCTCTACTAAAAATGGAGCTACCATATGACCAGGCAATTCCACTCCTAGGGATCTACCCAAAGGACACAAAAACATTGATTCAAAGGAACACCTGCACCCCTATGTTTACTGCAGCACTATTTACAATACGTAACACCTGGAAACAACCCAAATGCCCAAAAATAGATGACTGGATCAAGAAGATATGGTATATATTCACAATGGATTATTATTCAACAATCAAAAAAGATAAACTCATGCCATTCACAGCAATCTGGATGGAGCTAGAAAGGAATTATGCTCAGTGAAATAAGCCAGAAGGAAAAAGAAAAACATCGCATGGTTTCACTTATAGCAGGAATATAGGGGAACCAAATAAGACATCAGTGTAAAAAATAACAACAGTACAAAACACAACAAAGCAAAAACAGACAATTACAAATCAGAGACCTACTGCAGGGGAGGAGGAGGGAGGGAGGACAGGGGACTGAGGTGATGGTGCACGGGTGCATTGGGGAAGGAAATTCTATGGGGACTACACCTGAGGGGGAGAGGGGGAAGCAAATATTGTTTAAAAATGAACAATGATGTAAAAAATAAAAAAATATGAAAAATTTAAAAAGCCAACTTTTAAAAAGTAATGACCACTAAATATAAGCTATATCATTCCTTACTCTTGAGCTGATATAATTGGTTTGATAACTGGGTAATGTAGATTCAGATCTTGGCTTTATGTGAACATAACTAAGTTTATTTTTCTGGGCCTCTGTTTTTTCACCTGTAAAATGAGGGTATCAACAATGTCTTCCCTTAAAGAGTTGCAATAATTAAAAGACCCATACATGTAAATACTTGGAAGGGTGGCTGGTACTGTATTAGCCAGCATTTAAATTCAGAGCATGGCTGAGAAGTTACTATTCTCCCGGTAACTCCATAGTCCTCCACGGTTGCATTTGACTTCCATAAAGCCCAAGATTTTGTGTGTGTATTGGCAGTAGGAGTCTTATTAATGAAAGAGCAGTAAAACATCATGATAAACAATGTTCAGTAAGCTCTATGTGCCAGGTTCTGAAGTAGAATACAAGCATAAAGTAAAAGGAAGTAGTAGGAAAGAGAAAAAACAAAAGCTTAAGAATATTTAACAGAAAGAGGATCCCAAATATGAGTTACTTCTAGGGAGACAATAACCCATCTGTGGGCGATACAGATTTTAAGTCTCCAGAAGACACTTCCCTCTTGTCTCTTCCACTGTTTAATGACTCCTTCAATTGAAAAATCATAGAAGAGTCAAGCAGATGAAAAATACATCTTTTTTTTTTTTTTTTTTTTTGGTCAAAAGGTGTAGCTGGAATGAAAAGTAAAACTTTTGACATCTAAGAGGCTTCTGGATTATCTGCAGATTTATCTTCCTTTTTATCAGGTCCTCTGTTATAAGAGATTACTAATTTAAAGTTGCATTCAGAACAGGTTCATAAATACCTATTCTAGCAAAAAAGGGAGAAACTATGCAAAGAGTAAAGTAGTAAACTTTGGAGGAATGAAATGGGAAGCCTTTGTGACTGGAAAAAAGGGATTAGAATGAATAGTTGATTTTCCTAAGATTCAAATTTACAAATGCCCTGAAATGAAAAGTGTCACAGAAAGCTCTAAAAGCAGTGATGTCTCTATTCTTTTACCTTTTTCCCGAAGGACCAGATGGCATACTTAGCGTTTTCTGTAAGCTGAATTTACTAGCAGGCACATTTTCAGCAGATTGGGACAAACTGATGCTTCGATTCCTGAAGAATTCAAATCCACCACTTGAACTAGGTTCCTATGATGATACATAACAGGCAGCACAGTCAGAGAGAAGCCATGTAGGTGGTGTGATGTAGAACAACTATAATTTTGCAACTAACCTGAGCTGTAGGTGTGGATGGAGGTGTCTCAGATTCTCCAGAGCCAATTGCTTTAAGAAATCGAATCATGTGTCGACATAGGTCCCACTTGCCTTGTTCCAGGGCCGTGTTGAACAGAAGGGTGGCATGTTGTCTACTTACTGCTGGGACTTCCATATTCTACCAAAAAAACAAGGAAGACAAGCCTCTTTTTAGTACTAAAAATGATTTGGGAAGATATGAGTAACTCTTTATTGCCTAAACCCAGAGAAGGAATGCAGCTACTCTAAGATAGGGGTTAGTTCAACAGTAAGATTAAAAGGAGCATTAAAAAGTACTATACAAGAAAAAAATGAGGAAAACACTCTGCTGGTGTAATATAAACTGATTTAATTGCACTCCCATTACATGCCAGATATCTTACATAAACCTTACATTCTTTTGTTTCCCCTAGTGACTCTGCAAAATAGATAAATCATTCCCATTTTAAAAGTGAGGAAACTTAACTAATTTGATAACATCAGCAGAAAAGCAAAATCATAAATCTAGATTTGTCTGACTCCAAAAGAGTTCAGTTCTGTTTTCTGTGACAGTGTTTTATGAGGATATGACTACTGAAAAACCTTGCTTTGGGAAGAGTAATTAGTATTGAAATACAGTCAGCATCCTCAATTCCTTTACAAATTTAACCCTGCTGCCTGTGTTGGCCTTCACCTTCATGAACAGGTGCCTAATAAGACATGTTTAAATGACAAATTATTACCTCTCTACCAACTTAGAAATTCCAGCAGAGAAGTTTCAAGTTCCATTTCTTGGGAGATTACTGAAAGTCTAAGTAGTAACCTAAAACAAAACCAGCTGCATTGATTTTGCTGCTTTTGTTACAATTCTGCAACTTTCTCTCAGGGCCATTCAGCCTCTCCTTGAGTACTTAATGGGTTGTCATGAAGCAAATGAGCTGATGGGTAATCTGCTTCAGGCAGTGTCACTACCATTGTAAAGAACTCTGCCCTAAGTGAAAAGAACCTTAAAACTAGCTAGCCCTTTTGTCAAATAGATACTAAAACAAATTTTGAAGAGTCTTAAGGAACCTACTATTTTGAGGAAAACTCTGTTACAGAGGTGATTACTGTGATGTTGAGTGCTCTTGGCTTGCTGTGGGGAGTCCAACATAAGGTGCTCTGTTATGACCCAAGTTCTAATTAGAATCCTCTCAGTGTTCCACAATATAAGAAAATAAATCTATTATTGCTGTGGCTCAAATAAACCCACTTATTTTCTAAATATCATTATACTTATGTGATATTTCAATAATTTATCGAATATGTGCATATTATGATATGATATGTGCATATATGTATTATATGTTTCTTTAATCTTAAATAAATAATATAAACTGAACCAGTTTTAGGCTTATGTATGGACAAAGAGGATTTTAAAACCCCTGAAGTATACTTTATGATCCCACAAGAAACTTTCTACCATCATTTGATAAGACAATGAGTTCTTCAAAAAAAGACAGTGCACAGTAAACTTGCCTATTAAATTTCTTGAAACACACTCACTGTGATAACACAGGTCACCACACTTTTCTAAGTGTTAAGTTCATTAATTTTTATGCCATTATGAGAAAAGAATTGTTACCTGTAAGATTATAAGGTAAGAGGCAGCTGTGTCTAAATCCTGAGCCATCAAACACTCCTCAAACAAGTCCTTGGGGTTTCCAACAGCTGCAAAAAGGTAATTCCACAGGGCATATTCAGTCTTCCTGGCACAATGGACAACTGTCTGCAGGAAGAGGGGGAATTCGGTGATAAATTTTGCCACAGTGGGAAGCAGAGGGTCGGGAATGGGCTCCCGTGAGGTAGCTTCTTCTTCCAGCACTTCATGGAGCATGAGCTCTAGAACATGAGGGAAGTAAGGTAGTGTGGCGCAGGACTGGGCTAAAAGCAAGGCTTGCTCCCCAAGGTTCCTGACCAGCAGCTGACGAAGAATGTGGTGGAGGTAGATCTGAGAGGTTCTTTCCACAACACAGAAAGGGAAGAGGACCTCCAGCTGTTCCCTAGCACTGTTCCGAGTATACAAAGAATCATAGAGTAACGTGTCATTGACAGCACCAAGGACCAACGCATCTTCAAACAAAACAGCCAGAGGATAAATATTGATGTGGAAAGGCAGCATGATCCGCTGGGACAAGAAGGAATGGGGCTTGCGGTGATCCCTAGGAAAGAGAGGGAGCCAGACTTTCATCCCTGCACCACCACAGCTCAGCCAGAGGGCCTCCAGAAGGTGTCGCTTTTGTTTATTTGCTCGGCATGTGGTCCAAACATTTTCAACAGACTGGGCAAGTACAACAGGAGGACAGAATGGCAGCTGCAGAAGAAGAGGCAAGAATCAGGTTTTTTTCCTCTTAAATTTGCAGGCTCTTAAGTTATTAGATACTAATATCCTGTATCTTTCAAAATAACTTTTTTTTAAATTAGGGGACTCTGTTTAGAATTGGAGTTAATAATAGTAATGCCTGCCTTTCAAAGTTTGTGTATTTAAACAAAAACCAAACCAAACCAACTCCTTCCCCCCAAACTTCACCAATTTATCCTATTTTCACATTAGAATTTGCAAACAATGGCGTAGCAACAAAATTTACAATACAGAATGGTTTTACTATCATTTTAGGATCTTATCCTTCACCCTTCACAGAATGTCTTACACCCAGAGGCTCAACACTAATGTCATGTAATTTCTTAGTTTCCCAACTACAAAACAATACTCTCCTCTGATATTTTTTTATTCCTTCATTCTTAATGTTCTACATATCTTCTATTTCACTCACAAGTTTCCTTTGGTTAGGATTATTGTCCTTCTCCCGGATCTGAGGGCCTGATCTGTCCCTCTGCATCATGATGAGTTGTCCTGCGAGATTTAACATGATGCTCTCTGCATCACGAGCCTGAAAGGCAAATAAATTGGATTCATAACTAATTTTAGGTATACTTTCAGCATTTCCCACTCAATACATACTTGACAGGTTAAACAACTGCCATTACTTATTGAGAGGAAAAGTACAGTCATTGATTGGGCTAGGCTCTGTAGGATTACAAGGGTAGAACAAGCTGAACACAATGCAATTATTGAATAAGTGAACATAAAATGAAGGTAAAACTGAATTACCCTAAAATAACGAAAGAGAATGTTTTATTTTTTAAGAGAATGTTTTAAATTAAACAAGTGAGTCAAACAATGTTTTAAGTTAAACAAGTTAAACAAGTTATATCACTTCAGTGATGTAACTGGTATAGCCACAGAAGGCTTGAAGAGTGGGAAAAACATATATGGGTAAAAGGTGAAGTGTTGGTATTTTAGTCAAACTATGCAATCTCAATGACAAAGAAGTAAGATAAAGGACAGAGTATTTATTTTGGGAAAGTGTGAACAATCTGGCTAGATTAGGGATACTATGAGAAAAAAGTTGATGGGTAACAGACCTTCAAGGATGGCTTGAAAGTAGGTAAAAGAACAGCAGGAAATAAGCTAGCTATAATTCTTGAAAGTAGTTATTTAAAAATCTAGTTATTCAGGGTGGGTGACTGGGGAGAGGCAAACCTCATGGTTCAGTGACTTCAGGAAAGAAGGAAATAATCTGCCTTTTTACCATGGAAAATGTCAATCAAACCCCAAAAAAGTCAGTCTAGTATAATGATTTCCCATTATACAATCCTATCACTCAACAGAAGTTTGAGAAGCATTGTTCTAGTCAATCTTATAAATCAAGTTATTTTCACTTGTAAAGAGAAAAGACATTTGTTAAAAAACAAACAAGAACAACTCACTGTATAATAGCTTAAATATGAAGGGTAGAAAACTCTATGTGAGGTGCTACAAAAATGGAGTTAGAAGTTAGAAGGAGAAATCAGTTTAAAGAAGGGAACAACTGAAGAGTCTCACGTTAGAGCCCACAGAATTTGAAAGTATCTTAAGATTTTCAAGTAAAAATGTTGTGAGATGACTGAACCAAAGACAAATTTGCCAGAGTTGCAGCTTAAAAGTACAGCTGGCAAAATGAAGGAAAAAGTTGAGTTTTCTGAGACAAAGTATATAAGGGGTAAAAGAGTACAGAAGAGCATCATCTAAACTTTTGAAGGCAAAAAGAGAAACAAGAAAGCGCAATGTCAGATAAAGAAGGAAATAAATTTTAGGAATTATGACTATTGAGAAGACATGTGGTCCCAACTGTTGACACTTGGTTGAATAATTTAAGTTGCCAATATCATTTAGAGTTCTGTCATGGAAACAACAGCTACCTTGTGTTCTACCTATAAAAGTTATACAAAATGTTTTTTCCACACAGCTTTCAGATACTAAAAGTGGTTGTGTATAATGAGAATGCAACAGACTAGGGTTCAGAACATTTATGGACTTTGTCATTCATTTCTTTCTTTAGACTACATCCAAGAAGGTAATGTATATGAACTGTTGTTAATTTATAAAGAAGCAGAAATTAAAATATAAATAAACCACAGAATTTCTAAGACTTCTACAAAGCCCAGCAGCTACCTGTAAAGAAGTCTTCATTTCCCATTCAGCAGATGATGACATGAACACTAGAAGTATGAATATCTACCCCTAACACATAATTAACAACAAATAATTTGGAGGTATGAAAATGAAAAAAATGGAATTCAAAAGATGTGAGGGAATTAATAGACTAAATGAGGGGATAAAGAAATAAACAAGAATGAACACAGCATGACTGGGGACTGGCATAGGGACAGAAAATAGTTCCATAGACCTTAAGAACATTTATTACAATAAATTAGAATTACTTTCAAGTTCTAAGATAAATTTCACCACTAATACATTTCACACTACCTAACAAAAAACCCAATATTTCTTCTTCAGCTGTATCCAATCATATATTCAATGTTTTCCTGATATATATTTTGAGGTAACATTGGTTTACAATACTCCACATGACTCAGAGGGACAGGATTCTCCCCCAGTAGGTGTTGTTCCCATACCACACCTACCACCAAAACACCCCTAATCCTCTACTATCTTGCATTATGCCCCATCCTCACTTTGTTCTCTCTCGTCTCCCTTTCCCTCTGGTAGCCTCAGTCTACATTCAGATTTCAAGGGTCTGTACTGATTTGGTTTTATATAACCCTTTGTTTAGTTTCTCTATATTCTACGTATGACACTGTCTAATATTTGTCTTTCTCCATCTGACTTATTTTACTTAGCATAATCCCCTCCAGTTCCAACCATGTTGTCACAAATAGCAAAAGCTGGCATTTTTTTTTTTTTTTAAATAGCTGAGTAGTGTTCCAGTGTGTATATATACCAAATCTTCCTGCTCCCCTCATCCGTTTTTGGGTACTTAGGCTGTTTCCATAGCTTGGTTATTGCAAATAGTGCTGCAGGCAGAGAGGTGCAATTATCCCTTTAAATTTGTGTCCTTGTATTCTTTGGGTAAATATATATCTAGGAGTGAAATTTTTGGGTCATATTGTATATCCTTTTTCTATGTTTTGAAAAATCTCCATAATGCTTTCCATAGGGGTTGGATGACTCCACATTCCCACCAACAGTGTAACAGGGTTCCTTTTTCTTCATATTCTCACCAACACTTGTTTCTAGTCTAAATTTTGATATGGGACATTCTTACAGGTGTGAGGTGGTATCTCATTTTGGTTCTGATTTGCAATGCCCTGAAAATAAGTGATGAACATTTTTTTCATGTGACTGTTGGCCATAAGTAGGACATTTCTGGAGAAGTGTTCATTTAGATCTTTCCCCATTTTTATGATTGGGTTGTTTCCGTTTTGTTAAGTTGTATGAGATCTTTGTAGATCTTAAATATCAGTCCCCTGTCAGAGGTACAAAGTACAAATATTTTCTCCCATTCATTATGCGGATATTAAAGTGTGTGAACCAGGGACTACCTCCAAATCCCTGCCATTCACAGCAACGTGGATGGAGCTAGAAGGAATTATGCTCAGATTAAGCCAGAAGCTTAAGCTTATGCTTAAGCCAGAAGGAAAAAGAAAAATATCAGATGGTTTCACTTATAACAGGAAAATAGGGGAACCAAATAAGACATCAGTATTAAAAAAAAAAAAAAAAAACAGTACAAAAGACAAAGCAAAACCAGACAATTATAAATCAGAGACATATTTCAGGGGAGGAGAAGGCAGAGGGATCGGAGGGAGGAGCACAGGGGACTGAGGTGATGGTGCACTGGGGAAGGAAATTCTATGGGGACAACACTTGAGGGGTTGGGAGGAAGCAAATACTGTTTAAAATAAATAAATAAATAAATAAAATAAAAAAATAGGGCCTCCCCGGTGGTGCAGCGGTTGAGCGCTGGGCTGCAAAGCCGCCCGCAGCCTCTGCGGCGCCGGTTCAATCCCCGGCTGCCAGCAAGGGTCCCACATGGCACGCAGACCTCTCCTGAGGCCCACTGCTCCCTTCAGCAGTGTACTTCGTCTGTCTGGCTGTTCTCCTCCCTGTTCTGGCGAATTCTCTCACCCTCCTGTGCTTCTGACTGTACCCAGTGCATGTATAAATGAATAAATAAATCTTTAAAAAAATAAAGTGTGTGAAAACAGGCTACCTTAATGAATTTTTCAGTAACTTACTGTATCATATAAAACCAGGGACTACCTCAAAATCCTAAATTTGGGTCAACCCACATCATGGTGGAATAGAGAAGTTAGGCTCACCTTTTCCCCTATAAACAATCATAAAAATTTGCTCCAAGGAAAGTTTGGAAGTTTACCAAAAGAATCCTAGGACTTTCCCATAAAGCAATTGCACAGAGGTCAGTGACTTGCTGAAGGGAAAGAAAGGGAAGACAGAGAGGGGAGCATGGCGAGTAGATACCCAAGCCAGCAGAAGAGGCTGGGAGTTGGCTATCCACAGCATGATCGGGTACTCCAGGGCACTGTAAATCTCCCTGGAAGGACTTTTCAGAAAGTGTGTATAGTCATGGGTCCAACCTGGGACACGAAAAATTCACAACTGGCTCTAGCAAAGAAATTACCAACCCCTTCCCAGAAGATATCAAGAGTCACCAGATGGAGCTAGACAGGATTCTACTACCGACCTAGCAGCAGAGGAAAGGACTGGTGAGAGAACTCACCAACCCTTTGGAAAGTATCACGCTGGCACGCAGAGCTTGCAGCCCAGGTCCCTTGGAGGCAAAAAAGTAGCAATGGGGGCTGTTGTGGCAGTGTCACAGGCATAAACCCTGCTCTGGTGCCTCCTGGAAGGTGAGCACCATGGGCCCAGGCGAGCCAGCCCCCACACCAAGAGACTCAAGCTTCACAGATCTTGATTTTCAGCAGTTAGGAGCAGCAGGGAGGTGGGATGGGAAATCAGGTCAACTGAAGTACTAAAAACAGAGCTTGCTGTGGAGAGAGCAGAGGAGGCAGAGGTGACCAACCTCACTCAACTCCGACTCCCCTCCTAGGAGCCCCCACCTCAAACAAACATAAACTGAGAATCAAAACTAAACCTGCAGTACTCCAACTACCAAAAAAAGCAAAACACATGTCCAGGAAACAAGGGACAGCTGAACACAAGATGCAAAAGCGAGATGAGAAGAACAGAAGTTCTGGGACATACATAATGAATATAGAAATAGAGGACCTATAAGATTGAGACTTCAAAATGACAGTATTAAAAATATTAAATAAGCTACTGGACGGTCAGTCAAAGGCAGATAAACAAGTGTAAAATCTTAGAAAAGAGATCTAGGAACAAAGAAACTTCTTCACCAAAATGACAGAAAGCACTTTAAGTGGAACTAAACTAGCAGAAGAACAAATTTCAGAAATAGAAGACTCAAATGTGCAAGTCACTCAATGAAAAAAACAATTAGAAACACACAGGAAAAAATGAGGAAACACTACACAAAATACCAGACTCAATTAGAAGAGGAAATATGAGAATAATGGGTATTCCAGAAGGTGGAGAGAGAAAGGAGCAGAGGCTCTATTTAAGGAAATAACAGCTGAACATTTCCCAAACCTAATGAATGAATTAAGCAAGGATTTCCAGGAAGTAGAGAGGACACCCAATTTCCCTCTGCCTTTCCACTTAGAAAAAAATGCCACTTGTTCTTGTACAGAAAACTTCTGTTTAAACTTCTGCATGTTGGGCCTCCCCGTTGGCGCAGGGGGTTGAGCGTGGTGCTGTGATTCTGTCCGCAGCCACTGCAATGCAGGTTCAATCCCGGCCAGCCAGCAAGGATCCCACATGGTGTGGCAGACCTCTCCTGTCGTGCCCGTTGCTCCCCTCAGCAGTGTACTTCAGTCGTCTGCCTGTTCTGCTCCCTGCTCTATCTCTGGTGGATCCTCTCACCCACTCCCACGCCTCTGGCCTGTACCCCAGCTCTTGTATAAAAATAAATAAATCTTTAAAAAAAAATAAAATAAACTTCTTCATGTTTTGTATATACACAGTATACTACTTTCTGGTACACACATCATAACTGTAATTAATTTTGTATGAAGTATTTATTGTTTGAGCAGAAACCTAGTTTGCTACTGTAATCCACAATCTTCATATGCTGTACATTCTAGTCATTTAATATGTATTTGCTGAACAAATAAATAGTTCCTAATACCAAGTAAAAACTAAGAAAAAAATCACTAAAGAGCTGTGTTAATGGAATGGTACCTGTTGTGGCATTTTCAAGGTGATTCCATTCTCTGTACTCACTGATGTCAGAGTGACAGATACTACCAGGAAAGGGTGAGGAATGTAGCGTGACATGGAGACTTCCTGAAGAACTTGAACACCAGCAGTAGTATTTGGACTGCCCAAAAAATAAAAATAACTAAATAAATAATTAAATAAAAAATAAAGAAACCCATACACCTCAACAACAATGGTAACAAGGTTTAATTTTCACTTTTTCGCTACTGAAAGTATTAGATTTCAAGCTTACAGAAGCATCAAATGTCTTATACCTATCAAGTCCTCTCCTTAAAGTATCCTTCAAATATTAGACTGACTAGATTGAAGCATTCCAAGAACATAAATGGAAATGAGGGAGAAAGAAGGGAAGATGACTTAGGAGGGTAGCAAAAAAATAGGGAAGCAGCTATAGGAAAAAGAAATGAGAAAAAAAAGAAGAGTTCTGAGACTCACAAGATTTCTTCATTTTTTTTTTACATTACTTTTCAATTACTAAGCTACCTCAGCAAATACATATTTTATGATTGTTTAAAAAAGAGCCAAACAGGGCCTCCCAGGTGGCGCAGCGGTAGAGCGCTGGGTTGCGAGGCTGCCCGCGGCCTCTGTGGCGCCGGTTCGATCCCCGGCTGCTCCCTGGCCACCGGAGGAGGGTCCCACATGGCGCGCAGACCTCTCCTGCCGCCCGCTGCTCCCCTCAGCAGTGTACTTCGGTCCTTCTGCCTGCTCTGCTCCCCACTCTGGTTCTGGTGAATTCTTTCACCCTCCCGCGCTTCTGACTGTACCCAGTGCATGTATAAACAAAACAAAACAAATAAATAAATAAATAAAATGCCTCTATTAAAAAAAAAAAGAGCCAAACAGAAAAAAAAAATCCCAGAGCAAAATAAAAATCAACAATGTGGTCTTGAATGCTTCAAGCCAACCAGATGCCAAGAACATAGGTAACATAACAGGCAACAACAGGACTGCTGGTCTTTTCTGCCCTCCAGTACAGCCATCTAGCTCAGTGGAAATATGAGTCTGCTAAGAACAAGCTTCTTAAAACCTTAATGCTGTGGAACACCTTCAAATTTCCTCAAGTGTCTGAAACACCAAAATAGTTAGCAATCATTAATTTTCAAGGTTGAAAAAAAAATTAGTATATAAAGGTTTATCCATCCCAAACCAGACTTTCAAATTAATACCAGTAAGATTAGCTGAAGAAATCAGTACACGATCTTTTATTTTTTTTGGTAGCTAAAAAATAACTACGATGTGAATATCATTAATTAAAAGTCCTTGCTTTGTAAACTACTAATATAAAAGAACTAAATACAAAGTTAGGATAACTATTTTGAGGAAATAAAAACTATAAAGGGAACAAGATAAATGGAGCAAAATGTGGTTTGTAGTATGTCATATACTTACCCATCAGATTTTCTTTCAATACTGTAAAGGCATATTGAACAGTCTGCTTTAAATACTATTACCATGTCCCGGAAGACACTAAGCAGTAATGTTTCTGCTTGTGCTTTGGTGATGTGAGCAAAGGCATTGTCCAGATTTGATGTTCGCAAGTAAACTCTGAGCTGAAGATAAATTGTGAAAAACAAGATGCCTACTGTGAGATAATAAAATATATTAATCTCTACCCCCAGTTCCTGGCATACAGTTCCTGAAATCCTTGTAATTTCCTAAGTGGAGCACTGGAGCATCTCTTGTTCTAACATTTGTCTTTGAACTCATTTCTGACATAAAGTTCCTAAATGCCCTTGTAAATTCCTAAGTGGTTAGACCACTAGAAGTATCTTTTGTTCTACATAGGTGACTCTGTGTGGGTTCCTGAATAGGGCATGATCACTAGAAAAAACAATCCATGACTAGAAGCTAGGAATTTTCAGCACTGTTTTTACTCCTAGCTCTAAGTCCCATAGTTCTTCAGCGAGAAGACGGGCTGGGAATAGTTAATGATTGATCATCTCTACACAAAGAAGCCTTCATCAAATTCCAAGAGGACAGCATTTAGAGAGCTTCTAGGTAGGTGAACACATGCACACCAGGAGGGTGACACACCCCAACTCTATGGAGACAGAAGTTCCTGTGCTTGGGACCTTCCATACCATGTATCTCTACTCATCAGACTTTTTATCAAATTCTTCAATAAACTGGAAAACATAAGTAAATGTTTTCCTGAGTTATGAAAGCCACCCTAGTAAATTGAAAGAACACAAGGAGGGGGCAGGGGTTCGTGGAACTTCCTATCTGTGTAGCCAGTTGGTGAGATGCACAGGTGTGGCTGTTGGTCTGGGGGTGGAGGGCTAGTCTTATGGGACTCAATCCTTAGTTTATGGCATCTGACAATATCTCTGGGGATACAGTGTGTCAAAATTGAGTTACACTATAGGTCACTAAGGTGGTATTGCAAAGAATTGCTTGGTATGGGGATTTCACTTATATGGTGATCAAAAGTGAAGTGTTCTCTGTGGTAAAGAAGACACACAAGAAGAGAAACATAGGGAAGAACTGGGTTTTTTTCTTACACATAGGAAGTGGGGAAAAACCCCAGGTTTTTCACTGACACCTACCAAGAATGATTAAACACTTTCGACAAGGTGTTTTTTAATCTTTTGTTCAAGAAAAAGTTTGAAAAGTTAAAAAGCCATTAGTTGTAAACCACGGTGAGCACTGATAATAGATATTATTTCTATTTTAACACAGGTTTGCTCTACAAGTAATCAAAAGATAAAATGATCAAAACTGTGAATGTACTATTACAGATACTCCTTTTAAACCTGCATATTTATTCCTTATATAAGGAGGCCAGCAGTTTCTCAAAAAATAAACATACAGATCAGTAACTTAATAAATCTCTACAGACAATTATCTTTATAGGCTTTTCTGCTTTTAACTTTTTAATTTCTTACAAGGTTAAAAGAGAATGTCTAATAGCTAAAAATTTTAGAAAAAGTTATCCTAGAAGTCCTGATTAATCTTTAAAAAAAAATCTAAGGGACTGGAAATGAAAGTCACATTTGTTAAAAATCCCAAATTTTTGATTAAAATGTTTTCTTCAACAGATTTTTATATAAAACCAAGTAATGCTTAATATCTATAAAATATAAAAATCTGTTACTCCTTAGAAAAAACTTACCTCTTCTTGACGGTCACTTATGTTATAACATGCAAGGACAATAAAATCATTCCACCAGGCTAAGCCACCTGTCACAATCATATTTTGCTCCTTGAAAGAAAACAAACATATTGACCTTTATTTATCCTGCAGAAATAATTAGTACATTTATAAAATATTCCTAAGCAGACAATAAAAGCTCAAATTATTTCTTCTCTACCCTCTATCCCCCAATTAAGCATTACTTTAGGGCCTTTATTAATCAGGATTCGAATCCTGTATTTTAAAAATAAACACTTCCTTAAAGATAGAAAACACATCATGCAAACAACTGAATATCATGTAGCATCATTATTCTTACAATTAGCAGACTTTAAATTCTGGCTTTATCATTTATCAGCTGTTTGACTCTGAATCCTAGTTTGTCTTTCATAAAATGATAACAACAGTGCCCTTGTTGGGATGTTATAAAGAGTGATAAGACAATGTATGTAAAAGTACCTTAAAGTGCTTGGTTCACAGTAAATGTTTCTTTTCCTGGTATTTGATTCTTACAAAATCCAACCACATGTTTATATGCTACCCAAACATATACATACACACATATACATATATATGGTACTTTCACAATATATGGGAAAGTACCTTAAAGTGCTTGGTTCACAGTAAATGTCATATAATATATATGCTTCTATCTATATCAATCACACAGGTAAGCAGGGAATGATCTCAAATTTTGTGGAAAATTATTCTGATCACATCTGATGAACTCAACCTGCAATGTAAGAGTATCCTGAACTTAAAGATTTACAGTGATCATGGGCCTCCCCCAGGGGCGCAGTGGGTTGAGCGCAGCGCTGTGAAGCTGTCTGCAGCCTCAGCAGCGTGGGTTCGATTCTCGGCCAGCCAGGGAGAAACCCACATGGCGAGAAAGACCTCTCCTGTCTTGCCCATTAATCCCCTCAGCAGTATTTTCCTCAGTCCACTTGTTCTGCTACCCGCTCGGTCTCTGGTGAATTCACTCACGCTCCCACACCTCTGGCCTGTACCCCAGTTTTTGTATAAATACACAAATCTTTAAAAAAAAAGAATTATAGTGATCTTAACAAGATTTAAAAACAAATTAGCGATCTCAGTATAAAATCTTTTATCAAGTAGCAAATTCTTTATCAGAATGGACCTTAGAACCTCAGATAACTTCCAGTTTTATATTATTGGATACTATTTCTTTTGAAAAAATTATTTTTTAAAGATTATTTATACAAATAAATAAATAAATAAAGCATTGGGGTACAGTCAGAAGCGTGGGAGGGTGAGAGAATTCACCAGAGCCAGAGGGGAGAGCAGAGCAGGCAGACTGACGAAGTACACTGCTGAGGGGGGCAGCGGGCGGCAGGAGAGGTCTGCAAGCCATGTGGGACCCCTCGCCCGGTGGCCGAGGATTGAACCGGCGCTGCAGAGGCTGCGGGCAGCTTTGCAACCCAGTGCTCAACCACTGCGCCACCAGGGAGGCCCTGAAAAAAATTATTTTTTATAAGCAAATGGCGGTTATAGTTATTTGATATTGTAGTTCTCATATCTTGACAAATAGGTTTTCAACTTCAAAAAGACTAACCTGGGTAATGTTTCCAAAAAGTTTCCATTTTTTGGTGAGTAAAGAATAATGTGCAAAACCAAACTTGCCAACCACAGCAATATTCTGTCCAAGTTTATCAATAGCTGAAAACTGATTAAAAAAGAAAATTAAGAACTCTTCCTTGTAAACCTATGGACATTATGTAATTTAGTATGGTGTCAAACAGACTAGTATAACAACTCACCCGTATAGGCCAATTGCTCTCTAGATAGGTGCTGGAAATCTACAGAAAATAACATCGATTTGGTAAGACTTCTGAAATGTATTTCAAGTTAAAGCAAAATTAACATCACAATATGGCATTCATTTTCCTGACAATGTTTATTATAGTGCTACCAAGTAATGGGTATCAGTAGCAGTGCGCTTGGAATTCCATTTTTATACCAGCCAGTATTTTAACCTCTCCCATCTTAGCAATTTCATTGTTTCTAAATACTTTTTTTCTATGCTTTTTCTGTTTTAAATATTGAACAATTAATAAATACAGACTGACACAAGCATTTTCAATAAGCATCCACAAGGGCAGCTGACAATTGTGTACCTGAGTAGTTTGGATTTATGAAGTTGAACCATCCCCTAACAATTTTATTTAACAAAATTAGAGCTTCAGCAAGAATTATGTTTTGTTATGAAAATGTTTTTATACATTTTTCTGATTAAGAAGCAATACAGGCCTATAAGATTTAAGCCATGTATAAAGGTACAAACCACAAAATGAAATTCTGTTTTATCACTGCTCAGGGATAACCATTGGTTAGTTTTTATTCTATCTATAAATAAATGGCCATATACACCTGCAAGAGTATTTATAAGCTACTATTTTTAATTGGGGTATTTAAATATTTAACTTATTACTCTTAACACAGATACTGACTTTATCTGCAACATAAGTAGTAAATATATCTTCCTATGTTGTATTATTATTCATGGATCTTTATATCACTCTAACAACAATTTTAAACATGAAAGAATCCTCTGTAAGACATCAGTGTAGATAAGGTAAATTCTAATTGCTTGATACTGTGATCTTTCTACTAGTCAACTGAATTTTCATGACCACATAGTGAGTGTGGGGTGAAAATTAACAGAAGGACAGGGAAGAATCTTCTGTTCCTGGAATAAGAGAAGCTTTGATTTATTCAAATTTATTTTCAATTATACTCAAAGAAACATTAAAAAGAAGTCAGTTAAAAACAATAAAATCCAGTAAGATTCTTTTTGCAATGTGAAGACAAAATGAAAATCAAGTAAAAATAATATGCTTGAAACTTCTGAATTGTGACAAATTTATTCATAAAGCTATTTGTCAGATTTCACTTAATAAGTCAACCTGAAGTCTATGTAAATTAATAGTTCTTAGTACTTAGTTCTTAATCCCAGTGCTGGTTTATGAAAGCCTACCTTACAGAATTACAGATAAAAATGTCACAATATATGCTTGAAGAATGTGTAATATGTATTTTAACAGATATGCTGTATCATTTATTAATCAAATTCACTGTGATTGATGAAATTAATTCAGAACAATGATAACCTGAGGTAATAATTGGGTAGCAAAATAACAGTTGAAAGCAGTTTTCTAGGAGACTGTAAGTGAAATTCTTTTGGATGAAAAAAAATAAAAAGTAACCTGAAGAAGGATGTACCTAAGTATAATTGATCTAAGTATAATTTACCTAAGACACTAAAATTAACTCCATATCCTCTAAACCATGGTGTTTCCCAAGTTAAATATGTATGTGGGTAAAGCATGGCAAGGGGATCTAACTGCCAAAGAAGACTCCAACACGAAGAGTTTCTAACTGTGGGAACCAAGGTTAAACCTTATCATATAGTCACACTCTGAAGACTACCTATGGGAGAAAACAGCTTATTCTTTTAACTTCCGAAAGTGCACGAGATGCACAAAATGGCTAACAGTTTACTTTGAAAACTCAATATTACTTTAAAATGAAGCTTTATTTCTCATGCATTTTTTTTCCATCTGAAGATGCTATGAAAAAGAAAACAAAAACTTTTATTTCCCCCAGTGGCTCACCTCTATTGACCTTTGTGTTACCTGAACTTGGAGCTGTCTCTGCTACTGAGAACAGAAAATGGTAGAAGGAGACAGCTAATGAAGAAACTTCAGTTATGAATGCATACTCATGGCACATAAGTCAAGCTTACACTACTGGGAAACTAAGAGCTAAGGTACAGAATCTCTACTCTTAACATCTTAGGATTTTTCAGTTTCTGAAAGAATCTAAATTTACCTTTTTTATCCCTTTGAAGTCATTTTGCCAAAAACCTATCTCCTGCCCATATTACTTTTGTGTAATTGTGAGATTATGTCAGCCATTCTCCTAGTAGAGTTGCCAAACCTGGTACACTGGATACTCACTGAAGAAATGTGGGGAAATTATTTATATATGAAATAGTTTTTAAATTTTCTCTACTGACATTCCTAATGTAGTTCCAGATACAGTGTAGGTGCTCATTTCCCACATTTTGTGAAGCTCATTTCCCACATTTTGTGAAGCTTATTCTTTCCAAATAGGCAGGCTAACAGTAAAACCAACATTGTCAAAAAACTAGATAATGATCACACACCTCTCAGAAATAAATTTTTATATTATACAAGACACTGAGTGTTAAAGGGCAGTCCAAGAAGGAACATAGCCTAAAACCAAATGGTGTTCACTTTTTAAGTATTTCATGTTATTTGTGCTCTACCAACAAATTGCTTTCAAAATTTAAAAAAAATAGAGCCAAGAAAACTAAATTTAAAAAACAAAGCACAATCTATAGCAGTTATTAACCTTACTTTTGACAAGTATGTATTTGTTTTGTGTTAGTTAAAGAAAAAAATAAAATTAACATACTCTTCTGATCAGGAAACCAAATGAGTATGAGGCAGAAGGCTTAAACAAAATATGCAGTAGTCTAGATGAGAAACAGACAAAGCAGCAGAATTTAAGCTCATTTGATGACCTCTAAGCTGTACAAGAAGCATAACAAGTATAACTCATGCAATTACCCTGAAGGAGGATGTGAGCATTTATCCTACAAGAGCATATACTGAAAGGAAAATTAAAGAGACACCCATAATTCTTCAGGAAATCATTTACTAATGGCTACAAAGCCTAGAAAGTAAAATGTTAGTATTACATGGAGACTGTAAACCACCCTACCAAAACACCACCATCAACACTGCATTGATTCACGTGCCCACAGTGCCAGCAAACAAAGTAGAGGGCAACTCTAAGTTAAAAATCACCAAATAGGCAGATTCTAGATTTTAGCTCAAGATCAGCAGCATATTATATGATTCAACACTTAGTGCCTGGGTTTTGAAATGGTTAGGTTGTTGCTTTAATTTATCACAGAAAGGGTAAATCTGCCACTATTCTCCTGTGTGACCTTGTGCAAGATGCCTAACTTCCCTGAGCTTCAGTTTTCTCATGTATAAAATCCAGTTGGACTATATGATTTCTAAGGGCCTTCCAGCTCTAAAAATTCTATGAGTCTATTATAATTTAACTGTTTTGGGAGTATGGTCTGGCGTTATTTTTTAGTTTTAAGAAAACTGACAAAAATTAGAATTAAGTTCACCTTTCTGAATATTTCACATGTCTAAAGAACAGAATAACTAAAGAATCTTACTAATAATGCCTACTTTGTCTCAAGTTTTAAATCAGTGTCATATGTTTAATATGGGGTAAGAATCACAGAATCACTGAATTTTTGAGCTGGAAGGAAATTCAATTTTTGTTATTGCCTGATGGATTTTTTGATTCCAGACCTACCTTCTTTGATCCTCTGCTCTACTTGGCTCTCTGGCAACACAGACCTGGCTAGGCAGAACTGGCATTGATGCTAGGTCAGTGTAGAATGAATTGTTCAAAGTATGGGGAAATGAAAATAGCAGAGAAATGGCTATAGGAGAGAAGGGAGCAGTGGAAAATTTTAGTCAAGGAAGTAGCTGATGCAGTTTTATTTAGTAATTGTTACTAATTATAAAATGGTATGCACAATGTTTGATTTTATGAATTTATTAATGTAAGTTAAATACATTTTCTTTTAGTGTATACATGTTAATTTAGGAGCTTTTCCTCCTTCAATTCTTCACATTATGACCATTTTTCTGTCTCTCATTATCTCCATTCAAAGTTAACTGAAAATAACATGGGAGCTGAAGTAAGCTAGTAAGGTAAAAATATAGAATGTAGAAGGCAAAGAACTGTAGAAACAGGAACTGACTGAAAAAAAAAACTAATCCAAGAGTAGGTGCTGATGTACCTAAGGAACTCTGGTATCAAAAAGAGAAAGAAAACACTCAGGAATTTTAAATTGCATAAAAGTTTTGGTATCTAAGGAGAAAGAAGACACTTAGGACCTTGAAACTACATTAAAGTTTTTTCAAGAAACTTGAATTTGTTAATTTATCCAAATTAAATTTATTTGGTATACAAATTCATAACTAATTTCCAGGTCAAAAGGCAATTTATCAGAATTACTCAAAGAAATTGCTAATTTAAAATTATATCAGAATGAGTAAATAATTTAGAGCAAGATTAAATAACACCGAAATTATTAACAATATGGTTCTAGATTGATCACATGTCTGCAATTTAGATTCAAAGTCAGGTAATTAACTGTAATGCGTCTCCATCAGACTATATGATCTGCTACACAGGGTATTAACTGACATTGACAATTTCCATGAAATTACTACATTTTTTGCCTATGGAAATCCAGTAAGCTAAGCTTGTACAAAAAGGGCTGAAGGTAAAATAAACTGTTTTGCTCAGAAAAAAAGGGTAAAATATAAACATAAAACAGCTTTTGAAACCATTCACTACTAAAAGAAAGCAAATGAGAATATAAATTCTACATTAAGTGGCAGAGGGAGGGGGAAGGAAAAGACAAGAGGACCGGAACACAGAAAAGCAGAAAAGAGACATGACAGTCAAAAAAGATTTTAAAGGTACTTAGTTTTTTTAAAGTAACAGATGAAATATTTTAAAATCTGCTCTGGGTACTATCTTACCAGTGACTAAGTCAATAGTTAAGAGTAACTTACAAACTTACCTGTACTACATGCCAATGCCGATGTCCAAGTAAAGTGCTTAAACCCTGAGACTCTAAACCACCATCTGCAAATGGGCTCTTTTCCCGACTGGGCTTATGCTCAGAACGTGCTGAAGAACTCCTAGGATTCTGTGTTTGTGAGGCCTCTCCACAGTTCAAGTATAAACGATCTTCCCCCTGAAGCAACACTTGCTCTTGGTTACTCTAGGTGAGGGGGAAAGGAAGCAGACAGGCAAAAGGAGAAAGCAAATAATTCAATATTAGATAGGGAAAGTTCTAAGAGCATCCATTTAATTTTACTGTAGGAAATGTACCAGCTGCCTATCTATTTTCCTCACAAAGTACAGAGTACATATTTAGGTGTTATACTTAGAAGGAACATGCAATATTTTAATGATTCCATTCCACTGTAAGTAAAATCTTTGTTAAAATCGGTTTTATCATGTAGATTCCAAAATATGCCCAGGTTTTCAACTGCTACAGCATCATCTTTTATTACTACTCCAACATGGCAATGCTATGAGAGATTATCCATCTGAAAACGAAACATAATTTCTCACTGTCTACAGTTTACAAACTAATTTCACATAAAACACTTCATTTATAGCGGTAAAAAAACATGTCTGGTCAAAGACTGTGTGTATATGCTCACCCAAGGGCCTTCGAGTCAAGAGGTGAATTAGTAATGGGGACAGCCAGATGCTGAAGGATCCTGAAAACCATGGGGAAGAGGAACTATAGTCTAAGGTTGTGATCGTGGGAATATCTAGACAAATTAGTGTTATGCCGAAGTTATCAATGAGGTGGTCAGTATTCTGAAACATGGGCAGGTTCTTCACTATTAAAGTCATACAAATCAACACGCTATCGCCTTGCATAACAGTCCCAATGTCCTGATATAAATCTCAAGGATTCTTTTATATTATTATTATTTGGGATGAGGGAGGGAGAGGAAAAAGAAATACTCTATTGTTTTCCTGGGAATGCTTATTCTTCAATTGTAGTAATGAAATCTGAAATCCAAGCTATTTTTACATGCTTTCTAAACATGTTATACATTTTTATTAGAAATTGGTTATATCATATATTTAAAAGCCCATTAGCAACCAGAAATTAAGATATGTATTCCAAACACGTAAATACTGCTTATATATAGTAACAATTTATAATATTGATAATTATTTCAAATTTAAAAACCATGAGATGATTATAACTTGGGGCAGTGTTTCCAAAAGGAGGTTATTTTTTTTAAGGTCTTTCTTAAAAATTCATAATTAAAGGGCCTCCCCAGTGGCGCAGCGGTTGAGCGCTGGGTTGCGAAGCTGCCCGCGGCCTCTGCAGCGCCGGTTCGATCCCCGGCTGCTCCCCGGCCACCGGAGGAGGGTCCCACATGGCGCGCAGACCTCTCCTGCCGCCCACTGCTCCCCTCAGCAGTGTACTTCGGTCCTTCTGCCTGCTCTGCTCCCCACTCTGGCTCTGGTGAATTCTCTCACCCTCCCGCGCTTCTGACTGTACCCAGTGCATGTATAAACAAAAACAAACAAACAAAAAACCAGCAAACAAATAAATAAAGCATGCCTCTATAAAAAAAAAAAAAAAAATTCATAATTAAAAAAGCTTGGGAAACACTGATTTGTATATTCTAACTTGTGGGTTCTTCACAATGCATATTAGCATAATAAAAAAATTGGAGTACTACAATAAAGAAATCGACAGTTTTGTATAACTTATTTCACATTCACATGACAACAGAACTTTTCTTACCCTGTGTAACTACTATTAATATTTCTCCTAACTAGAGCCTAGGAGAACACACTTCAGAAAATGCTATTCAAATAAACACTAAATTTTATGAAGTTATTTAAATCTGTCCACAGTGCTTTCCCTGAGGTTGTTACCGTGATCCTATTAAATCAAAATCTATTCATAAATAAAATTTTGGTACAAATTTCAAATAAATTAAAAGAAACAAGAATCACTGAAAATACACAAAAGTATGCCAATTTTAGAAGTATACTTTTATAAATATACTGAACCTATCTGTGACATAGAGTATAATATTCTAAAATGAAAGTGACTAAAACAGAGTTATAATTAAACTTACCATACAAGGGTTTACAGTGAGCACACTCTTGATAAACTGAAACAGCAGAATTCCAGGCTGTTTAATACTCTTGGGGTCAGACTCAATTTCAGTATTTTGAGAGCCAAATCCACTGATTACCCATAAATGATAGCCTTCTGCACCCCAGCTCTTAGATAGGAAGAAGCATAGAAAAAGGGGGGAGGGATAAAAAGTCAAAGCAATGAAAAGTTTCTCGTTATTCATTTCTAGTTTCAAATACTCAAATTCCAAAGTAACCTACAACCACATTGTTAATGATTTCTTATGGTGAAGAAGCCATGACAAGAAATTCAGGTAAGAAATCACAACTACATCATGTACATCTTAACCATCTTCTGTGGACCATCACTGCTCTCTACTTTGAAAAGTGAATAGAGAAGACTGCATATAATCTTAGTCTATATCCTAAGGAATGCCTACTGTACTGTTGTTTCTCCATTATTTTAATATATCAAGATTACTTAACAATTGACTTATCAGTCAATGACAGACCACATATACTACAGTGGTTCCAACAGATTATACTACATATAGTAGTGGGTTATATACCATCTAGGTTTGTGTAATGATACTCTGACTTTCCCACAATGATGAAATCACCTAAGGGTGCATTTCTCAGAACATACCGCATTTGTTAAACAGTACATAACCATACAAAGAAAATTCTTAGAGTATTTATCCAGGTTACTCAGGTGAAAGCTTGACAGACACTTAAAATAAATGCAGTTTTGTGTAAAGCAAAGACAAGTGGAATGGAAGCTGTGAGACTAGGCCTTCATTGTCAGCTTTCACCTCCACCATAGTCCATGTACTCCCCATTTTCATTCCTTCCCCATCACTTTTACCCCTCTTGGCTGCCTCAGATCGAGGGTCAGTTTTCAAAGGTCTCAAAAACTTATTTGAAAATTTAAACAAGGTAGGAAGAGACATCAAATTGGTCTTTGGTGGTAAAATGTTGGGAAGCACTCTTTTATGGCAATCATGGTGAGATGACTTGAGAAATCAGAGAAAAGGCTTCCTCTGCAAAATAAGTCTCATAGTCCCTAATTTTATAAAAATGGCATGCACAGAGACTTTACTAAGAAAATGTCTTTAGGGCCTCTCCGGTGGCGCAGCGGTTGAGCACCGGGTTGCGAAGCTGCCCGCAGCCTCTGCTGTGCCGGTTCGATCCCCGGCTGCTCCCCGATCACGGGAGGAGGGTCCCACATGGTCGCAGACCTCTCCTGCCGCCCGCTGCTCCCCTCAGCAGTGTGCTTCGGTCCTTCTGCCTGCTCTGCTTCCCGCTCTGGCTCTGGTGAATTCTCTCACCCTCCCGCGCTTCTGACTGTACCCAGTGCTTGTATAAATAAATACATAAAAATAAATCTTAAAAAAAAAAAAAGAAAATGTCTTTATGTGAAGACAGGGGTTACATACACCTTCACTGATTTCTACAGAAACACTTGAAAACAGGTAATAAAATTTTCAAAATATATTCAAATAATGCACGAGTATATGTCTTCCAGGAAAAACACCCAATGAGCATTTCGCTTTATGGTAAAAGGTCATGAGAAACAGTCAATAAGAAATGAGGTATGATTTGAAAAACAAAGGCTCATTTGAAAATTGAAAGGGGCTTGTTGGACATATCTAAGCAAGACCAAACTAAGAAAAAAGGGAAGGAAAAAATTTCAAGTTTCTCACACTTAATTTTTTATAGAAAGTACTTACCATAGAGCTGATCTTAAGGGGATCTTTTTTGGTACCATCAGACCTATAACTGAAAACAGAATAGAAATTTATTTTTAAAGAATCTTCAAATTATATAATATGCATGAAATTTAAGACTGTAGATCAATATACTCAGTTATATCACTGAGACATAGTCTTTTAGGTTCTAAGTATCTTCTTGACAAGGTCATGCAGTTTGGGTAGGTGTGTTCATTTTTGCCAAGGCTGAGGTTCAGGGTAGTAGTACATGAATTGGGCAGAGATATCAACCCACCCTCCAAAACTCAATGACATAATGTAGTTGTCCACTTTTTAGCAATTATTTATGCATATGTCTAACACTGATAAGAGAATAAGCTACTTGAAGGCAGAACACTGTCTGATTTAATCTTAAATCTAACATGCTACTATATATACAACAGGGGTTCAACAAATAAATGCATTTTTATTGAATGATCAATTTTAATACAATGGATGATTTGATAATTTTGCACCATACAAACTATTTTGGGATTAAGTGTTAAATAAAACAAAAGGGTAGCTCTGAGACAAAAATTTCCCGTGTGTGTGTACGTGTGTGTATATGTGCGTGTGCGTATAGTGTTTGAAAGATAATGTAGTTATTTTATCTAAAATTTTCCTTTATAGACTCACGCAAAATCTCCACCAAGTGTACAAATCAGCTGGGCTCCAAACACACTCCATAAAGAAAGGCCTCCATACTCCCAAGTCACCATTACAACACTATTGTCAGGAGACCATCTGACCAATTTAACAGCTCCTGTTTTGTTCCAAATGTCTGTTAAAAAATCATGAGAAGAGTTATACAATTGCTTCAGAAATACTTAGTATATCTTACAGTCTGTCTCTTCAATTGGAAATATACAGAAAGGATGACTGATTCAACAGTCATATACAGAAAAGATGACTGCTTCAATGAGATGAATCCTGCATATTGAAAACTAATTAAAATCAGGAAGGACACAAACCTTGACTTAATCTATGCAGCACAAATTCAGGGCCCAAGTGATTTATAAGACGTAGACGCTATTTTGGACAACTACTTGTTTGAATACCTACAGCTATGAAGTTTTAAAAAGTTTTTGTCTTAGGGAAAACCAGTTTCTATAAAATGGGGACAATGTCCCCTTAAATGATTCAATATTAGATGTGAAAGTACTCTGCAAAGAATAAGATGTTTTAAAATGTAAAATATTTTACTGCTGCATTCATGGTGCATTGGCAATATCAGGAGGATACAAGTTAAAGTAGATTGACGTTTAATCTTATATTAGAATCAAATGGGTAAATACCAGGTTCTCACATCTTCTTTTACTAAAAATAGTTCTTTAACCCCCTATATAATTACTAAAGGGGAAAATCTCATTATGTAATAAAACCAGTTTCTTTACAACAGAGTTAAATTAAACATGCCATTTCTTACCAGCAATTCAAAAAGATCTACAGTAGAACTTTCTTTAAAATTAGAAGTCTTCCCATTTGCAGGTATTAAGTTTTTTCTTAGTACATTGTTAAGAGAGGGAAGAACACAGATTTTAGCTATAGAAGCAGCTTGGTGAACAGAGAACTTCTTTCCTCTGTTAAAGTTCAAACCCCCACATTAGCATTTCCCACTTTAATTCATGCATAACTATTATTTATATAGATGAAAAATAAATGGGAATATATATAAGAAACATCATATCTTATTAATATGCTTTATACTTTACCAGGAGAGAAATTAATATCAAACTGACCAAAAGCAGACAAAGATCTCACAAAGAAAGAAAACTACAGACATCCCTTATGAACACGGATGCAAAAATCAACAAAACCTTAGCAAACTGAATTCAATAAAACATTAAAAGAGTCATACATCATGACCAAGTGGGGTTTATTCCAGAAATGTAAGGACGGTTCAACATACACAAACCAATAAATATATATTCACCATATTAACAAGAGAAAAATGAAAAGAGCATATCAATGGATACAGAGAAGGCATTGGACAAGTTTCAACACCCATGTATAAAAATCACCCTTAGTAAAATGGGGTCAGAAGGAACATACCTCAACATATAAAGGCTATACATGATAAACCCACAGCAAGCAATATACTCAACAGTGAGAAAATGAAGCTTTTCCTCTAAGATCTGGTACATGACAAGAATGTCCACTCTCACCAGTACTATTCAACATAATATTGGAAGTCCTTGCTAGAGCAACTAGGTAAGAGAAAGACATAACAGAAATCCATACTGGAAAATAAGTAAAGCTATCATTTATTTGCAGATGACATGATTTTAGATGTATGTTTTATTTATATACATAAAAAATCTTAAAAAACTAAACGATAAATCAGTTACTGAAAATGGCAGGCTACAAAAGCATTATACAAAAGCCTCCTGCATTCCTATATGCAAGTAATAAACTAAAAGAGAGTGAAATAAAGAAAACAATCCCATTTACAGTATCATCCAAAGTATTAAATACCCAGGAATAAACTTAAAATGCAGTTTTTGAAACCACAAATTGCCAAAGCCCTACTGATGAAAACAAGAGAGAAAGGAGGTATGACACTTCCAAACTTCAAGCTATACTACAAAGCCATAATAATTAAAACAGTTTGGTATTAGAATAAAAACAGACACACAGACCAATGGAACCGAATAGAGCGCCCAGAAATAAAGCCACACTTATATGGACAACTAATCTTTGACAAAGGAGCAAAGAATATACAACGGAACACAGACAGTTTGTTCAATAAATGGTGCTGGGAAAACTGGACCACCACATGCCAAATAATGAAACTAGACCACTACCTTTCACCATGCACAAAAATCAACTCAAAATGGATAAAAGACCTGGACATAAGACCTGAAACCATAAAATATATACAAGAAAATATAGGTAAAACACTACAAAGCATACATCTCAGTAAAATCTTCAAAGATTCATCATCCAGAGCAAAGAAAGTCAGGAAAAGATAAATACCTGGGATTACATTAAACTGAAAAGCTTCTGTAGAGCAAAAGAGACATGAACCAAAACACAGAGATACCCCACTGATTGGGAAAAAAATCTTTGCACTCCAGTCAACTGATAAGAGACTGATGACAAAGATATACAAAGAACTCACAGGACTCAACAAAAACAAAGTAAACAATCCAGTCAAGAAATGGGCAGAAGAACTTAAAAGACATTTTCTCCAAAAAGGAAATGCAAATGGCCAACAGGCAGATGAAAAAATGTTCAACATCCCTTATCATCAGAGAAATGCAAATCAAAACCACATTGAGGGCCTCCCTGGTAGCGCAAGGGGTTAAGCACCGCACTATGAAGCAATCCGCAGCCTCTGCAGCACAGGTTCGATCCCCGGCTGTCTAGGGAGCAACCCACATGGTGCAGCAGATCTCTCCTGCCTTGCCCGCTGCTCCCTTCAGCAGTGTATTTCAGTCAGTCTGCTGTTCTGTCCCCCCACTCTGTCTCTGGTGAATCCTCTCACCCCCTGCATCTCTGGTCTGTACCCAGCCCTTGTATGCAAAAATAAATAAATCTTTGAAAACACACACACACACACACACACACACACACTGAGATACCACCTTACACCAGTGAGAATGACACATATTAAAAAACTAGCAACAACAAATGTTGGCGAGGATGTAGTGAAAAAGGAACTCTCCAACGTTGCTGGTGGGAGTGCAAACTGGTCCAACCACTATGGAAAGCTGTCTGGAGGTTCCTCGGTCTACTAAAAATGGAGTTACCATATGATCCGGCAATTCCACTCCTAGGGAACTACCCAAAGGACACAAAAACACTGGTTCAAAAGAACACCTGCACCCCTATGAACAGAGGGGTGCAGGTAATACAATACATAAAACCTGGAAACAACCCAAATGCCCAAAATAGATGACTGGATCAAGAAGATATGGTATATATACACAATGGAATATTATTCAGCAATCAAAAAAGATAAACTCATGCCATTCGCAGCAATGTGAATGGAGCTAGAAGGAATTATGCTCAGTGAAATAAGCCAGAAGGAAAAAGAAAAATATCACACAGTTTCACTTATAGCAGGAATATAGGGGAACCAAATAAGACATCAGTGTAAAAAAACAGTAACAGTACGAAACACAACAAAGCAAAAACAGACAATTATAAATCAGAGACCTACTTCAGGGGAGGAGGAGGGAGAGGGATTAGAAGGAGGGAGGGAGGGAGAACAGAGGACTGAGGTGATGGTGCATTGGGGAAGGAAATTCCATGGGGACTACACCTGAGGGTGTGGGGGCAAGAAAATATTGTTTAAAAATGAACAATGATGTAAAAAAATTTAAAAAATAAATGAAGTTGAAAAAATGGAATTTTTGAAAGACAAAGTCAACGAAATCTGCAAGACACTGCTGGAGAAGATAGAAGACACAAGGTAATGAAATGATATTCCATGTTCATGGATTGAAAAATTAATATAACCAAAATGTCTATCTTACCCAAAGTGACTTACAGATTCAATGCCATCCCTATTAATACTTCAAAGGCATTCTTTAAGAAATAGATCAAAAGTTATTGAAATTTATATGGAACCACAACAGCCCTTGAACAGCCGAAATGATTATGACAATCATGCTCTCAGACTTCAAACTATGTTACAAGGCCGCAGCAATCAAAATAATAGGGTATTAGAATTAAAAAAAAAAAAAAAAAACAAACCCACACACAGATCAATGCAATAGAATTGAGTGCCCAGAAATAAACTCAGGTAATATGGACAGTTAACCTACAACAAAAAAAGCTAACAGCATACAATGAAGGAGTCTTCAAAAATTGGTGTTGGAAACACTGTCCAGCCACATGAGGAAAAAAAAAAAAAAGAAAAAACCACCACTGGTCAGCCACATGAGAAAAATAAAACTAGACTACTCTCTCATACCAGACACAAAAGCTAACTCAAGATGAATTAAAGACTTGGGTGTAAGATTAGAAACCATAAAATACATAAAGGAAAACACTCCTACAAAATCAGCTTCAGGAATGTCTTTGGGGAATTGACTCCAACAGCAACAAAAGCAAAAATAAACAAAAAGGAATACATCAAGGTATAAAGCTTCTGTACAGCGTAAGAAAACTATGATTAAAACAAGAAGACACCTTGCTGAATGGGAGAAAATATTTGCATATCATACATTTAGCAAAGGGGACTAAAATCCAGAGTACTCATACAACTCAATTAGGAGAGAATAAAGAACTCACCTAAAAATGGGCAGAAGAGTTAAACAGACAATTCCGAGAAAAAACATACAAATGGCCTACAAGCACATGAAAAATGTTCACTATCACTTATCAGGGAAATACAAATCAAAAGCACAATGAGATACAACCCCACTCCCGTGAGAAAGGCTATCATCAAAAGAACCAGAAACAACAAATGCTGGTGAGGGTGTTGAGAAAAAGGAACCCTTGTACACCACTGATGGAAAGTGAACTGGTTGGTCCAGCCCTATGGAAAACAGTATGGAGAGTTCTCACAATGTTAAAAACAGATGTATCTGTATGACACAGCAATTCAACTTTTTACCATTTATCCAAAGAACACAAAAACATAAATTTGAAGGGATATATAGGCACTCCTCTGTTCAATGCACCATATTTAAAATAGCTAAGTTATGGTAACAACCTAAATTTTACACAAGTTGTAAGGAAAACAATCAGCTTTTTTGCCAAAAATCATAATATATATAAACAAATGAGTAAGAACCCAGGAAACCCAGACAACAGAAACTGACTCAGAAAAGCTTCAGATAAAGATACAGAATGTAGAAACCATTCTATTACATGTAAAGAAATAAGAGAATACTGAAACTAGGAGCATGATATATACACATTAGAAAAGAGATAAACCTAGGGAAAAAATTTTAATTAAAAATTCAGTAGAAAGATTAAGCAACATATTAGATACAAATGAAGAATAAGTATACTTGAGGATAAATATGGAAAACTTCCTAGAATGTAATCTAAAGAAACAAAGATAAAGAAATTGAAAACACTGGTTAAGAAATATGGGGAAAGTGCAATATATGTGTAATTAAACTTCCACAAAGAGATTAAGGAAGAGGCAATATTTAGAGAGGAAAAAAAGAGTATTTTCCAGAATAATTAAGATATGAATCCTCAGGATCATGAAGCCTGAGTCTCAAAGGAAATGCAACTTGACGAGAGACTACAAAATAGTAACAATGGAAGTCCAAAGGAACAACTTCTTCAATGTATAGATTTAAAAATTTGTCAATTCAAAATTGTATACTATATTTAAATCACAAGGGCAAAATAAATGCATTCCCAGACCAAAAAAATAAGAGTTTACCATCACAAAAACTTCAATAAAATAAATTCAAAATGGTCTCAAAGTGGAAGGTGTAAGCTGCTAAAGGAAATGGACCAAAAAGACAGGTATATGTATGGTAACACTATAAACATTAACAGTTAAATATTCTAATATTTATCTGAAATTTTGACATGATATACTTCAGCTTTCTGAGGTATATAAGTTATTTATTATTGTTATTAAGGCTAATAAGTTATTTATTATTAAATTCAATTTAGAGAGTGCTCTGAATTTTTTTCTGACACCAAACATCACAGAAATTTGTATCATCTTAAAGCAATTATTCTTAATATGGGGCCATATCTAAATTTGGGGGAGGGATAAAATTATTTGAAGAAAGCACCTATTACTAATATGCATATAGGAAATAGAACATTGTTAAATTTTTGAGACATATAGTAATGAGATTTTACTAACTTTTGAATACAATCCCAGAAAGGTAAGTGGCCTTAATTTTAAAAAGATAATGATTCATTCACTCCATTTTTACTATGTGCCTCTCACTCTGCCAAAGTAACTTGGTGTGAAGAGACATATATCCTATACTTCAGCCTTACAGTCTAGGAGAAACAAAACATGTTTAACTTATATATTCAATAAAGAAATATCAGAGGTAAGAAAGATGTCATGTACAAGGTATAATGGGACACAGAAGGAAACTATATTTTATCTAGTTCATACAATGGGATTTCACTTGAACTGTATCTTGAAAGATGAAAATGTATCTTCCATGTAAAAATATGGGGTATTTCAGGTAAAAACAGTATGAGAGTCAGAGGCTAACTCTCAAGGATTTAATTTGTAAAGCTTAAGATTGCAGTTCACAGCCTGGATGCTAAGATGACTTCAGAGCACTGCAGAAAATTCTTGGAGGTGGAGGGTCTATGATATAATTTTCAAGTGAAATTCATTTATATCTAGTATCTGTTGGACATTATGTAAGCTGTTAGTTCCAGGAGGTTCACAGTTATAACATACTCTACCTTTATTTATTGCTCTAAGTTTATTTTGATGATGTTACTTACATCTTTGTGGAGATGGGATTTTAGTAGTTGCTGTAATTTAAAAAAATGAATATAAAATTTAAGGTGGAATAGGAAATGTGGGTAATTGTAATCAATGTGACTCCAAGCTTTGGGATATTAAACAGTGTACATCCTCTTAGTAGAAAATGTTTAAAAACATTTTTCATTCCATTGATGTGTATTATTTTCTTTAAATTCTACTAGTTTGTAGGCTACAGATACTTATTGTTTACACCTAATAAATACTATAGATACTATTTACTTAATAAACAGAGCATTTGGTGTTTCTTTTAAGATGGGGTATTGTAAGATTACAGAAACACTAAGGGCAGAGTAAACCAGGAAAGATCAGAAATCTGGCAAAACACCTTATGTATCACACATGTGGCAGACACTATAATTTGGTTATTAATCCAACATTTATTCCCATTCTTGTTTCTCTTTGCTCATGTCTGCCAATTAAAGGCTTTAAAAAGTTTAGAAAAGCCTTGGTTAACTATGTGACATAATTATGATCAATTAAATGTAAGTGGAACATAGCTGGAGTACGTAAGAGGTACAGATGCTTCAGGAAAAGCGTTTGCTTTCCTGATCCAAAACAAAACAAAACCAGATTATGTCTTGTATCCTTTCTTCTTCTTGACCCAAATGCAGAAGTAATACTTCGAATTTGGGAGCTACCTTGTATCCATGAAATGAAGGCCAAATGAATGCCAGTCATAGCTTACCTTTGGGTTTTCTGCTAGTTGAAAAAATAAATCCCATTAAACCACCAAAAGTCAGATTTTCTGTTAGCATCAGTCAAAAACATTTCCAATAGCATATGGTTTAAAGACTTACATATATGGAAAAGATTCACTAAAGATACTTTAAAAGATTCAGAAAGACTTTTGTTTACTCCTGTGTACCTACAGTAGGCATTCAATAAGTAATTGTTGAATAAATTGAAGGAGGCATGAAATAACAGAAGCAATGAAATCAGGTCTTAGACTAGAGTAAAATCCAGTCAAGGAATGAACAGAGGGGCTAAAACTAAATGAGGATACAGAGGTCTAATTGAAAGGGTAAATGAAGTATCCCAGGAGTTTGTCTACTTAAACACAAATCCTTGTTCTATATAAAATATTATGTTTTAACAATATTTGACCATAGTATGCATCATTTAATTTAAAAATCAGCATTTATTATGTATATCATTACTGTATATTAAAAATATTAAAAGAAAAAACTCACCAGGGTATTGTTTTGCTGTTAGCTCCAGTTTATGAGACAGCAGCATAGCTCCAGTGGTGTTATCTATTGTATAAACCTGTACAGAACCACTGTGAAAAACAAACTTTTAGTGAAAAGAAACATACAAGTAGCATTACGGAATTACGTTCTGCTGGTAGAGTATAAACTAGATTGAAAATCATGTTGTAAATAATTTGCAGTCTCATAAATTTGAACAAATGCATATTCTATAATCTATCAATTTCACTTCTAGACATATCCCAGAAATATCCTTGTCTATGTTTATCAAGAGACACATACAATGCATATGTCCATTATAGTACTGTGTATAACTAAAAGAAAAGGGAAACATCCTGAATGTCCAGCAATAACAGAAAGGAAAAATAAACATAGCATATTTTTAGCATATTCATATACCACACAGCACTGAAAATGAAATGAACTTTAATCATGTACATTAAAGTGGACAGCAAATAAATATATATATGCAGTGTAATTGTTTTTATATAGTCAAAAACTTTCAAAACAAAGTAGCTAAGTACATTCGTGTTAAAAATATAACAAAGAACTGATGTACAAAAATTCTAGATTAATGAAATGCCCTGATAGAGAAAGGAAAATATCAAAGGAAAGGGGCAAGTGAGTGGAGAAGGGCCCTTCATTAATACAGGTAATGTGTTGTTTCTCAAGTTGAAGATAATTTATACTGACAATACCAATGTTCTTTTAAAAATGCTATTAAATCCAATGCTGCTTTTACACACATTAGGATGATGCTGGCTTACAACTGCCAGAATGTTCTGGCATTTAAGCTTTGATTAATTCCCACTGCAGCTTTGATTAATTCCCAGCCAGGGTTTAATCTTCTCAAAAATTAGGAGTAAGACTAAATATCTGCAGTAATAGGCCACTTCCGCTTTTACTTCCCTCCACCTCCCCGGGTTTCATTTTGGATAATTTCTCTTGCTACATTCTTCACATTTATTAATCTTTTATCCTACACTGTTTGACTTGGGTCTTTTTTATATCTTCCATGTCTCAGCTTAATACTCAAATGGGACCCTCTACAGCTCTTTGGAGTTCTCCCTTTGTGCCACTCTTTTATTTGGTGTCTGTCCTGTAAGCCCTATCTTGTTTGGTCTCCCCAGACTCTCATTTCCAAGTACTCACTCAGGGAATCCGTTAGGCCCTATCTCTATCCTTGTGGTATGCCCTGGAAGCTCTCTAAAAGTAATAAAAGTTGGGTTATAGAGTTTTCTTGTTTTTCGTTCTCTGGAATCACTATCCTTTATTGCCTGAATGTCCCAAGTCTTACATTCAAAACAGCTGTTTTATATTCAGGCAGGAGAGAAAATCTCATCATTTATGCCATCTTAGTCAGACATCTAAGCCTAGGCTAGTATTTTTCCAGGTTACTTACTAATTAGGTATCTCGCTCAAAGATTGTATTTAGTTGCTAGGAGGTACTTATATCAGTGTTTGCTTTGTGTCTGAAACTAACAAGTTTCAAAACTACCAAGTATTAAGTTCTAACAAGTCAGTGAGTCCAAATATTTTTAATAAAAACGTATATAATTATATAAGAATATTGTTAATAAACGTAATACTTGAGGGCCTCCCTGGTGACGAAGATGGTAAGCGCTGCACTGTGAAGCAATCCACAGCCTCTGCAGCATGAGTTCGATCCCCAGCCGGCTAGGGAGCAACCCGCATGGCGCAGCAGACCTCTCCTGACTCGCCCGCTGCTCCCCTTAGCAGTGTATTTCAGTCAGTCTGCCTGTTTTGTTCCCCACTCTGTCTCTGGTGAATCCTCTGACCCCCAGCATGTCTGGCCTGTACCCCAGCTCTTGTATGCGTAAATAAATCTTTAAAAAAATATATAATACTCTATGGTGACTATAATCTTTCAATTCTTTTTCTTTACATTTATCATTAGCACTATTATAAAATAAAAATATTTTCCAATTAAAAAAACATTATTTACTAAACTCAAAGCAAAACAAAAATATATGCCCTTAATACAGATATGGCTATAACTCTTAAGTGATCAAATTTAGTATCATTAACACTTGGCAATATTGCTATATGATGCCACAAAAAGTATACAACATCAACTATGACAAAATGTTTAACCAAAATCTAATCAAACTGATAATACTGGGTTGTTGGAAAAATCATGATTCATTTTTTGCAAGAAGTGGCTAAAGAGAAATAATGAAATATCATTCATTTTGATTGACTGTGGTTTGGAGCAAAGGAGCAATAAAAGAAATTTTGGTGACAAGTTGGTTAATTCAAATATGAACTGCATTTTAGATTTTATTTGGGATTTTTCTCATTAATTTTTCCACGTGTGATAAAGACATTGGGTTAATATAAGAGAATATCTCCTTTTTTGGAAACCAAGAAATACAAATTTCCGTTAACAGCATATCAGAAAAATCATGGTATACTCCCACACTAGAACACCACCTATAAATCAGTTTTAAAAAGTGATTTCAGGGCCTCCGCCAGTGGCGCAGCGGTTGAGGGCTGGGCTATGCAGTGCCTGCTGCTCCCCTCAGCACTGTATTTCATCACTCTGCCTGTTCTGTTCCCCATTCTGGTGAATTCTCTCACCCTCCTGTGCTTCTGACTGTACCCAGCGCTTGTATGAATAAATAAATCTTAAAAAAATAAATAAATAAAATCAAAAGTGATTTCAGTTACCGCAAACAGCATGGATTAATTTCACAATGGTGACTGACAGAAGACACAAAACAGAATGTGATTTTTATAAATCAGGTAAAGCTAAATTAAGATCTTTAAGAATGCATACAAGGGTATTAAAAACAAAGAAAAGTAAATGATTATAATAAGTAAATGATTACCTTTAAAATTAAGTCAAATGGTGCTATGATTAGGAAGTAGCAGAGATAAAACTCACATTGACTGGCAATGTACTATTTCTTGTTCCAGTGAGAACAGACGGGTATTTGTATCATAATTAATTATGATAAGTTATGACTATTTGGATTATGCATTTTCCTGTATGTTTTTAATCTTACACTATGAAAGTTAAAAAGAGTATTTCAAACTATGCCAATAAATTTGAAAGTATATATGAAACCAATTCCTAGAAAAATAGAACTTGTGGGCCTCCCTGGTGGCGCAAGGGGTTAAGCAACGCACTATGAGGCAATCCACAGACTCTGCAGCAGGAGTTCGATACCCAGTTGGCCAGGGAGCAACCCACATGGTGAAGCAGACCTCTCCTGTCTTACCCGCTGCTCCCCTCAGCAATGTATTACAGTCAGTCTGCCTGTTCTGCTCCCAACTCTGTCTCTGGTGAATCCTCTCACCACCACTCCCACACACACACATATCTCTGGCCTGTACCTCAGCTCTTGCATGCATAAATAAATAAATCTTCAAAAAGAAAAAAAAGAAAAATAGAACTTGCTAAAATATGTAGGAAAAATAGACAATCTAAAATTGTCTTACAAATCTATTTTTAAAACTGAATTCAGTTAGTAATGGAAAAAATTCCTACAAAGAAAATCCAAGGGTCTGATGGCTTCACTGATAAATTCCACCACACAAAGCTGAACAGTAAATGAAAAGAATCCTTCCTCTACTTAATTATGGTTAAGGAAGAGAAAAAGGAATATTACAGTCAAAATGTATTTGTGAACATGTATTAAAAGATTCTAAATAAACTGTGACCAAATCAACTCATGAAAATGAAAAAAATTATTTTCCTTCTCTCATACCAAGTTAAATTTATTCATACTCTTCAGTGAGAAGTGTGTTAAGAATGAGGGTTCCCTACTTTACTAAGAAATTATTGAGCATATAATGAAAGTGGAAATTTATAACCATACTAGTTACTTTTATATATTATGTTACTAGTACTAATACAAATACTTTAATCTTAACTTGCTATAGCTAGAGATTATACTAGATGTATTTCTAAGTCTTATTTTAGTGCAAAGTGGAATTTTACATTTTAGGCAGAGTTTTGAAAACTACAAAGCACTATATTCTCATTGCAAAGTATTACTATAAGTGTCTGATAGTCTTTTTTATTTGAGCTAAACTGTAAGATACAAAGTCCATAATGGATGCCTAGTGCTTAGCACTGTGCCTGATACATGACAGACTCATACAGTTTTTGAATGAATAACTAATTCAATTTTACTTCTGAATTCTGCATTATCTTAAAGCAAGAGAATGATATTGTTTTAGTTTTAAATTTGCTTGTTGACTAAAGCAAAGGTAACGTCACAACCCCGATATCATAGAGAAAGGACTTTTATAAAGAAAATCTATCTTCCTGATCCCGTTTTAAATAATAAAGAACCTAAATTTTTAACTAATTTAATCTTTTTTAAATGATAATTCAATTTTCTACCAAGAAAAGCTTGTTTTTACAAAGCAAAATGCTCAATAGCCAAAATAAGCCCTTTAGATTTACTTCAATCTAATAAATTTAGATTTTACTTAAGATTGATTCACAAATTATGATAGGCATTACAAACTTAACCTATGTATTAAGAACATCTTATGTTTTATTTTTTTTAAAGATTTATTGATTGATTGATTGATTGATTTATACATACATGCATACAAGCACTGGGGAAGCACGGGAGGGTGAGAGAATTCACCAGAGCCAGAGCGGGGAGCAGAGCAGGCAGAAGGACCGAAGCACACTGCTGAGGGGAGCAGCGGGCGGCAGGAGAGGTCTGCGTGCCATGCGGGACCCTCCTCCGGTTGCCGGGGAGCAGCCAGGGATCGAACCGGCACTGCAGAGGCTGCGGGCAGCCTCGCAACCCAGCGCTCAACCGCTGCGCCACCGGGGAGGCCCAGAACATCTTATGTTTTAAAACAACATTACTTTTGGCAATAATTTTTAAAATGCAGATGTCTGTTATCAATTACCTTGCGCAGCCAAATGCCATTAGTCGGTACTTGTTATTTACTGCAACACAAGTCCCATCAACAACATCTTGTGACCAAACTCCATGAAGCTGCTATAACACAAAAAAATGTTTAGGGTTTAAAAGTGTTTGCTAAAATATACTGTAGTCAATATAACTCTCCATCTATAAACACACACTTTCCTAAGGTTTTACTTGGTTTAATCTGAATAGGAAAATTTCCTATAAGGACTCTTAAAACATCAATTTCATTAATAGTTCAATGAATATTCCCAACTGAGTCCAAGTCAGTGACAATTTATAAACAGTGGAAAATGGGATACTTGATCTCCAAATTCAAATTAAATGAAGATGACTTTCTTATTAGAATATAAATCTCTTGATAGCAGAAACTGCATCTAACTTTTCATTATTATTCTCCTTATCAACCACATAGTGTTTACAACTTCCCAATCAGTGGAAAATAGTGAATTTTATTTGATTTATCCTTCAGAAGTGACTCATGACTTGCAAAGGCTTATTATTTACTCTGTATCAGCATAATGGTTAATAGGATGGCATTTGACAGCCTGACATAACATCTTGGGCCTACCGTTCACTTGCTGAAATGGTTATTTAACCTCTCCAAGTTTCATTTTTCCTTATCTGTAACTACTTCTTAGAATTTTGAAAATTAAATGAGACTATACATACATGTAAACCACATAATGCCATGCCTGGCACTCAAAAAAATTAAGTATTCAATAAATAACATTATCTTTATATGCTATTGAATTCTGAAACAATCAGAATAGATACAACTCAATTGTCTCATGTCTCAAATTAAGAACATCTTAGATTATAAATTCTAAGGCAAAGGTCACCATGATTGTCAGTGCAGTGAGTACAATAAATAGCATACTACAGTTTTGTACTTTATTTTTGTATTATTCCAACCATTTGAAGATCTACCTATTAGAAATACAGTATTACAAATTTTATTGAATTTCCAAATTTACTTTTTTGTAGGACTTTCATTTTAGTATAAAACTAGACATTATTTTATGTACTGCAAATAGTGAAGTCAGTATTGAGCATTATTTTTTTGGGGGGGGCCACTGTTTAGACTGAAATTCATCCATTCATTCCGATAACAAAGTTTCCACTATTCACCAGCCCTGTTCTAGATGCTGAGGACATTACGATATCAAACAAACCAAGATCCTATATCCCTGCCTTGCATTAGGAGGGTAACAACTACAGTATATTGGAGGTTGATAAATACTATAGAAAAAAATTAAGGGGAAGCGAGATTATGGGAAAAGGACATAATATTAAATTTTTTTCCCCTATGAAAGTGCCTTTTGATGAAAGCATTGGAGAAATAACAACTTAGCACTTTTTAAAAATAAAAACAGGGCCTCCCCAGTGGCGCGGCAGGTTGAGTGCAGTGCTGTGAAGCTGTCCGCAGCCTCTGAAGTGAGGGTTCGATCCTGGCTGGCCAGGGAGAATCCCACATGGCACAGCAGACCTCTCCTGTCGTGCCTGCAGCTCTCCTCAGCAGTGTATTTCTGTCGTCTGCCTGTTCTGTTCCCGGCTCTGTCTCTGGTGAATCCTCTCACCCTCCTATGCCTCTGGCCTATACCCCAGCTCTTGTATAAAAATAAATCTTTACAAAATATAATAATTAAAAAAAAAAATAAAAACACTGTATTTAGCAGGTTTTGTCCTTTTCCTAGTAGTATTTCTAACATTAAAAGAACACTGAAAAGGCTTGTGCCAATGGAATGGAGTAGAACAGGGGAAAAGAGAAAAAAAATTTAACAGCACAGATTCATAGTAGACTATTACATGAAAGCCACAATAAGAACTACAGTTTTTTCTCCAATTTAGATACGGGGTCACAAGAGTATTTTTAATTATTTTTAACCTTTTGCATTAGAATTATAATACATTAAAGAAAATACAAAACTGTACATTGCAATGATATCACACTATAATCACTCATGGAATTACAACTCAAGTCAAAAATTATCAGTACCCCAAAGTCCTCCAACAGTGCAAATCGAAATCACTATAACTTCACCCCTATCACAAAAGTAACCAATTTACATACTAATCATTTCCTTATTTTTCCTTTACACCACTGCACTTAAACATGCCTCCATACACACGTTTAGACTACTTATATTTTTATATTTCCTTCAATTTTATATAAAATGGAATCAGCACATATTCTTTTGTGTCTAGCTGCCTTCACTCAATATATTAGAGACCTCTCCATGTTGCATATTGCATCATCTGTTCATGCTCATTGCAGAGTCAAACACTGGGTTTGGCTCACTGGGTATTGAGCTTTCCCTAGTTTTTTAATTCCTTACTGTCTTGTTAGCACTCTAAAGACTTAGCACTTTTTAAAAATAAAAACAATGTATTTAGCAGATTTTGTCCTAATTATCTAGTCCTACCAAAAAAGTCCTGAGCAAACTGTCAAAATTTGACATATTTTAACATATCTGTTAAATATATTAAATAATGCCAAGTATAATTTTTATAATTTATAGTTAATATACATATATGCTGCTAGCATATTTCTCAATTACCTGTAATACATATGTATTGTTTTTATTATAACTTATACTTTCAATTTAAAACTCATTTAATAACATTCATCTACTGTTCATTACTTTAAATCCTTAAATTAGAAAGTTTTCTTCAATCAAATACCAATAATGCTAATGCTCAGGAAGTCAATGACTTTTTCAGCTCTGATATTTTGATTTCAGTAAAAACAAATCCTAAACATAATCACAAATAAGTATGCATATTGTAAAAAATTTAGGTTTTCCAAGTTTATTTTAATTCTTACTTATATATTGACATTGACATTATCACAAATGCATTATTCAGTGCCTTACTATTTGAATAAAGCTGATGATGGAAAAAAGGAAATTATTAAGATTAAAATAATATCACAGAGAAAAAATAATGCCTGCATAAACTTAAAATCCTTTCTAAAAAGAGGTGACTGAACATGATTATCTTGCTTCCCTGACTCTTAAAACCCAACTTTAAAAACAGAAAAGATTGTTTTCAAAAAGTATAAGAAGACAAGGACAAAGAATGGGAGAGAGGGCAGCATCAATAAATGTTGGAAACTGGGAAGCATACAGTTGAGTGGAATTCTTACCTAATTTAAAGAATGTTGAGAATCATAAATTTACACTGCATGGTACACAGAAGGCTAGGGAATTCAGATATTTTTGATATGATGAACTAAAAGCAGGATGGGTTAAAGCCAGTGAAGAAGTAGGTAGGTCTTCCCAGAGCACCTCCCCAATCTGAGCAACAAATAAACACCTTACCTCCACCCAAGAGAAAACAAAAACAAAAGCCCAGTAGTTTCTAGACCAAACTGAAAACAAGGTAAATGAAAGTTTATGTTCTGCATTTGGACCCTTCACTCTGTCCTAACTCAAATTCCAGAATTTTGAACCAGACAAGCATATAATCTGTGCAAAGTATTACAAGACTGTTCTCCAATGAATATTGGACACAGAAAGGGAAGGAAAGGAATAAACTAGATTACAGCAAAAATGCTTTCAATTAGTTCAAATTTTTATTTTAGCTCTTGTCAGAGCAACGAAATTCATATATTAACATCCCCCATACTAATTAACTATCTACTAGGAAAGGGTCTCATACAAATAAAAGTCTAAAAAGAATCCTCAAGATGATGATAGTGAAGAGCCTAAAAATATAACCATGTTAAAGTAAAGATGAGTATTGTGAGCAACCGGTTCAGTTTGGAGAAGACCTAAAAGGCTCCGGAGAAATTTCAAGAAGATGAAATGGATAAAACACCTAATGCTTTTCAAAGAATTGAAAAGATGGCATAACCAGTAGAGAATTTGGGGTTGAGGTAGTGGTACGTTAAAAAACACATGAAAACTAAGAATGTATAAAGAACAATTATTAATTTCCAGTAGGAGAAAAAATCTCAGGAAAGGAAAAATAACACATTACACGATTCAGGTATTAATAAGGTTTAATAAGTAACAGTATAGATAATGAATAATGTGAAAATCACAACACCTATGTTGAAAGGTGGGGGAAATAATACATGAAGGTAGTTGGAGCAGGAAAAAGAAAACTGAATGGCCATTTTCCACAGTGAGAAGTCAGTGAACATGGCCTAAAAACTGAAAATTAAAGTAAATATTTAGAGTAGTGGCAATACACAAGCAAAATAACCAGTAAGGGAATAAAAAGTAGTTCCCTTAAAAAAGGATAATGGTCAAGATGACAGCAGATGATTGTAGGAATTATCATCTCTCTGATATATCTAATAGAATAGACTAACCTATTTACATTAATTGTTTTGATTAAAAAAAATTAACAACCCCTAAAATATCAAGTGTGGGACTAAAGAACAAATAGCAAAATTAACAAGTGCAAATAGAAATGTAAAGAAAATAAGCATTTCAAAGTAAGTCATACCTCTGCAGTAAATTTACTCGACACTGGTGTAATAAAGCCAACTTTGCCATCGTTAAACACAACAGCAAATCCATCAAGTGTGGCACAGTATTCCATGTCTCTGATATGCACATCTGCAAAGCCCAGGAATGAACCTGCTGATGAAAAAGTACATGAAATATGAAAAAATATAGATATAGTAAATAACTCTCACATTTTGCTTGCAAATCCTATAAGAATAATTAAATGGGCAAAAAAAAGGAACTAAAAATACTGAACAATTAAATTCCTCCCTCCACTCCCTCCCTTCCTCGAGTCTCATATTCTCTCTTCCCCTCCTCCCTAATTCCCAAGTAGAAAAAAATCTACATTCATGCACAGAAAAATGTCTACATTACAATGAATATTGAATATCTGGTTCTACCCTATGCAGAAAGTCTAACTACCTCTAGATGACTGCAGATCCACTGAAAAGGGCACTGTGCAAAGGTTAATGGCTTTCCTTCCATTTGTCATTCCTTCCCAGTGAATAAGATGAAGAAGTCCATCAGAAGTAGCCACCAGGAGATCTTCCAGCACAGACTGCAAACTGTAGGAAAGTAAGCAATTTTGAATCAATTAACTCTTTTAAGAAAAAAAAAAAAAAGATTTATTAATACAAGAACTGGGGTACAGGCCAGATGTGCGGGAGGGTGAGAGGATTCACCAGAGACAGAGTGGGGAACAGAACAGGCAAACTAACAAAATACACTGCTGAGGGGAGCAGCGGGTGAGACAGGAGAGGTCTGCTGCACCATGTGGGATTATTGTGGCCGGCCGGGATCAAATCCATGCTGGAGAGGCTGCAGACAGCTTTACAGTGCAGCGCTCAACTGCCTGCGCCACTAGGGAGGCCCTAGACTCAATTAACTCTTAAAAGAGCATACTTGGAAAGCAAAATAAAATTGTTATGAAGAATATTAATGCAGAGATCATGAAACTACTTATAAAACTGTCTTTTACCTACAATTTCACTACAATTTGGGTATGATTCAACCTAGAATCAGAAATTTTTGAAGAAATAAAGACTATGCATAGCCATTGTCACAACTTCATAAACCAAGTTAAAAACTAGAATATTGAAACAGTAAATTAGAAGGCAGATATATAAGTGATAGCTGACAAGAAAAAAGAGGTAGAAAAACCATAAAAAGAACAGGTAACAAATTGGAGGAATGGGTTATAAAGGCAATAATCCTCTAGCCCTGTTCAACAGAACCTTCAACTGTAAAGGAAGTGTTCTGTACTTGTACTATCCAATATAGACAGACACTAGCCACATGTGGCTACTGCACACCTATATGGCTACTGTGACAAATGAATTTTAAATTTCATTCATTTTTAACTAACATAAATTCAAATAACTTCATTTGACTACTGCTTACTGTATTGGAGAATACAGTTCTAAACCACTGCATTTCTAGGAACTCATTGAGTCTCATATTGTTCAATTCACTCAACAAATTATTATGCCTATTCTCTGTGGCAGGTGATATGCTGTGTGTTAAAGACTGAAAGGTAAATAAAAGATCGTTTCAGAAGATCACTCAATTGACTAAGTATTGAAAAGTAAATACATAGTATGATCTTAATTGTTTATTTGCAAAGAGATTTAATATTTACTAACCTAAAGGCAAATAAATGCATACATTTCTCATTCATATGACCAGCCCCTGGGCAGTACTAGTTATAACTGGCACTAAGTATATGTAGAAGGAAGAAAAGAAGAGAAAAGGGCAAGAGGAAAAAGTAACTCAGAAAAAAGATCACGAAATTACTGGCATAGAAAAAAATAAGAGAATCAGTGGAAACTTCACCAAGAAAGCCAAGGAAATAAGATGTATTTAATAAAGAATATCAAATGCGAGAAAGAATTCAAATGCTAGAAAGATTTAAAGTATAAGAATGAAAAATGTATTGTATACATAATACATCATCTACAATATAAACACTAAATTTCCTTTCATACTAAGGTGAGTACATTTCAGAAATACTTGAATCGATGGGGCCTCCCTGGTGGTGCAAGGGGTTAAGATGCAACCATGAAGCTTGCCGCAGCCACTGCAGCACGAGTTCGATCCCCGGCCAGGGAGCTACCCACATGGCGCAGCAGACCTCTCCTGACTTGCCCACTGCTCCCCTCAGCAGTGTATTTTGGTCGATCTGCCTGTTCTGTTCCCCACTCTGTCTCTGGTGAATCCTTTCACCCCCCACAACTCTGGCCTGTACCCCCGTTCTTGTATGAATAAATCTTTCAAAAGAAATCTGAATCCATGAAAAAAATGTGTTTTTTTTTTTTTAAAGAGACTTTCAAGATTTTTAAATTTATTTTTGCCTAGAAGAACTGGATTGTAGGCCAGAGGTACAGGAGAGGGAGAAGGGGTGAGAGAATTCACTAGAGACAGAGTGGGGAGCAGAACAGGCAGATCCACTGAAATACACTGCTAAGGGGAGCAGTGAGCAAAGCAGGAGATGTCTGCTGTGCCATGTGGGTTAGCTCCCTCGCTGGGGATGGAACTCAGGCCACTTAGCCATGGTGGGTTGGGGGTAGTGGTGGAGGGGGGAAAGTACCCTCACCTTGGTACTGCTGAGATTTAACCCCTTGGCCATCAGGGAGGCCCCATGAAAAAATGTTTTTTAATGTTTACTAAACTAAACCTTCAATTCTCTGGAAAGTTGAATTCAATGACCCATTCCTCAAGGAATTTAAATAATGAAGAACTTACTGTATTTTCTTCCCAACTAAAAAAAATACTGAAAAAACATTAGAATGACATGTTCCTTTCACCTAGCTCCCTATCTTTTGAATTTCAGAGCATTTGAAATTCCCAGTTTATAGGAAGTCCATGGATTGTATCTTCTTTCATTTTAAATTTATATTTTAGCGATAAGATGTATATGTAGCATATGATATGAAAGTATGTTTAAGATCTGCTAGCACACGTCTAGAGGCAATTTAGTGGAGCAGTCATTTGTTACCAGTAATTTTCATTCAGTGGGAGTCAATCTACTTTTTAACAAAGTAGTATATTCTCCCTTCACTCTTTTATCTCCCTAGAAGAACTGCTGCATATGACACTAGGAACAAGATCAAAGCTTCTCTGCAGTAATTTAATTGCCTACTAGGCAATACTCAGCATTCTTCTAACACATTTAACAGAATTCAAAAATCGCAACATTATTACCCACAATGCTAAGTGGTCACCAGATGTACAGATAAATAGAAAAATGTGACTCAGGGTCAAAGAAAAATTCATTAAATAGATTCACAGATATATTTCTAACTTTGGAATTAACAGATGACTTTAAAATAACTGTGATAAACATGATAAAGAATCTACAAGACAAGATACCTCATTTAATGGAAAATAAACTCATTTAAACAAAGGCCGGATCAGTTGTTAAAGTACTGAATACCGACATAAAGGTTAGTAGACAAGAATTGTACCAAACCACCCAAATGCCTGCTCACCATTCCTCTCCTTATAAAGATCTAACAACTATAAAAATTAGTTCTTGGTAAGGAGAGGATATTAGGGCCCTACACAAAGCCAGTATCCCATATATTCTCACGTTGCACTGATTATTCAATATTTTGAAAAATCACCCCTAGGTATAAGTACACACAAAATACACAAATACACTCTAAATTATGTCCCCAGAGAAACTTTTTCAAGCATTAACTTCATGGACTTTGATAACAACTACCTAGTATATAAAGTACTTTTTTGTTGTTGTTTAGGATCTGAAAGTTTTAAGGATTTAATAGACACAAAAGGAATATGCTGGAATATCATATGCTACTATGCACGTGAAGTAGAATACTGTTTGATTAATCAAATATTTTTATCATATATAAGATATGTAAATATATTAAATATATTTAATACCTATCTAATATTTTGTACTATTTACTACATAGGGCCTTCCTAAATATCCAGGATAAAGGAAGACACTAAATAAACTGTGGTATTTGAAATTAAGAAATAAGCTAAGAGTTTTGGAGTCTCCCAGGTGGCACAGCAGGTTAAGCACCACGCAGTGAAGCTGTCCGCAGCCTCTGCAGCGCAGGTTCAATTCCCAGCCAGCCAGGGAGCTACCCACATGGCGGGGCGGACCTCTCCTGCCTTGCCCGCAGTGTCTTCAGTCTGTCTGCCTGTTCTGCTCCCCGCTAGGTCTCTGGTGAATCCTCTCACCCTCCCGTGCCTCTGGCCTATACCCCAGCTCTTGTATAAATAAATATATTTTTTAAAAAAGAAATAAGTTAAGCGTTTTAATTACAATATGCATTAGAGCTTTTTACCTTTTAAACATTCTCTTCCTCAACTGATAAGAGGTTGGATGCTTAACATTAATTCTATTCTCTCTTCAATCAAAAACTGAAAGACGACAGTATTGCTCCTACAAGCAACACCATGACAATTATCCTTTCTACCCTCTTCAACTATCTTTAATTGTATTTGACTTATTACTTTTGGTAGTGGAAGGGTAAATAACTGGTTATAAAGCCAAAGTTTATCTTCTGACTCAATTCAAAATAGTACAGGAAACCTCCAAACTGTAGTAAGTACACTATTCTGAATGCAATAATTTTACTTGGTGTTTTGAAAGTTCCAATCAACTACATTTGTTTAGAGAGTTCCAATCAACTAAATTTGTAGATTTAAAACCAGCACCTGACAAGTAAAACTTGTACAAGATGGCACAAATTCTTATTAAGGTTCCTTTTTTATCCCATTTCCATGAACCATACAGGTTTTTACCACCAGGTGGAGGTAGAAATTCATGCTTGTGCAATTTCATGTAGTTTGATATCCAGACATTCAAAATTCCTTATGCACTAAGTCACATTATTGAAAAGGATCTCTAAGCTGAATTAAATACAGTGTGAGGTGAACGTAACTTTCTGACCAAGTTCACAAGTAACCTGAATGCAATCTTTTGTAACCTTGATCACATTTTAGCAAATAACCATCCCCCTCTGCTTTAAGCATTCTTTTTATATGAGAGAAGAATATAAAAAGATAGATTAAACAAGGCAAGCCAATAGCCAGTCACTTGCATACAAATTTAACAAGTTACATACATTATTTGTACTGTCCTAATAACAGAAATGGTGAAAGAAGCCTTTTTAATTCTGTTTCAAAAGAACTTAAAAAGACAACACAAGTATCACATACATACAGTCCAATACATGCATATTATATCCATACTATACAATGTTTACTAAGAACTCACAAAAAGTCTTTTCCCCAAACTGTCTCCTAGACGCTCAGTTCTCACACCATTTCTTATGTATTCTTCTAGAACAATGCATATTCTAATACCACTAGTTCCCTTTCAGAAACAGCATTATTACGTAAAGTATACCTGACTTTTTTTAAGATTTATTCATGCATACAAGAACTGGGGTACAGACCAAATATTCGGGAGGGTGAGAGGATTCACCAGAGACAGAGCAGGGAGCAGAACAGGCAGACTGACCAAAAGCACTGCTGAGGGGAGCAGCAGGCAAGACAGAAGAGGTCTGTAGTGCCATGTGGGTATCTCCCTGGCCGGCTGGGAATCGAACCCATACTGCAGAGACTGTGGACAGCTTCATAGCACTGCACTCAACCTGCTGCACCACTGGGGAGGTCCTTGACACGAATGTTTTAATGATTCCTAATAGTGAATTTTGAATTAGGATTTCTTTTTCTTATTTTTTTTTAATCATTTCTTACAGCAAGTCAGGGCATTAGAGATAAGAATTGTTGGCCCATCTGATGCGTAGAAGGTTCGATGTGTATGGCTATTACCAGCATTTTTTTTTTCCAAGTACTATGGACTATATACTGTATCATTCAACAGTTCTGCATTTTACCAAAAATAAAAATTTCAAAATAAACTTAGAGTTGGCATTCCCAATATACAGGTTTTATTGCAATAGTAATGCACCATCTGTAAATTTTCACATTTTTTTTTAATCTGGGTTAAGACAAAGCATTTCTAGGACTAAAAAATTATACTCAAAGATATGAAATTAACTTATTAGTCATGTGATTAAGTAACTACATTGTATATTGTCATCACAAATTGCTAAATTTAACTACGACAGTACTGTACCTCATAATGGGGGCTTGCAAATCCAGTATTTTTCTCATCTCTAAATTTAATGCTGGAGCACACTGTTCTTCTTTAAAATGGGGTGTCCCCTTCATTTGTGGACTGCCTCTAAAAAAATTTGCAAATACACAAAATTAAAAGGATTGAATTCTCTTCCACTCTATGATCAACACATACCCAAATCAAAGTAAATGTAATTAAATTTATAAACCACATATTTATTCATTAGGCTCACAAATGAAAAACAGGCTTCTACTATATCAGACATATCTATCAATTAAAATAAATGTATTGGAGAAGATGTGGTGAGAAGGGGACCTTTATACACTGTTGGTAGTACCATTATGGAAAGTAGTATAGTGACTACTCAAAACTAGAAACAGATTACAGATGATCTAGTTCTCAACAGAGAACTGAGAAGAGATAAGCTAGCCTAGATTAAGGTTAATAAACCCATCCTAAAAAATACAAGCAATCTTTAAAAGGCCCAAGAAAATCTCCAATTTAACTGCCATCCAAAACAAACCTCAACATTCATAAGGAAAAGAGAAAAAAAATCACCTGCAATACAATGTCCAACATTCAATCTAAGTTACTAGACATGTAATATGACCTACTCCTAGGTACTCATTAAAGAGAAATATAAAACTAAAGAAGGATATAGGAGTAGAATCTAAAAGAGGAGACAAAATTCACAATTTCATTTTTTACTCATTACAAAACTCTCATTAAGAACGTATTCATAAGGAAAGTTTGTTCAATAAATGGTGCTGGGAAAACTGGGTCGCTACATGCAAAAGAATGAAGCTTGACTACTACCTCACACCATGCACAAAAACCAATTCAAAATGGATTAAAGAACTAGACATAAGACCTGAAACCATAAAATACATAGAAGGAAATATAGATGAAACACTACATGATATGCACATCAAAGACATCTTTACAGACACATCACCCAAAGCAGTGATAGTGAAGGCAAAGATCAACAGCTGGGACTACATCAAATTAAAGAGCTTCTGCACAGCAAAAGAGACAATAACAAAAACAAAGAGAAACCCCACCGACTGGGAGAACATTTTTGCACACAACACTAATGATAAAGGACTGATCACAAAAATCTACAAAGAGATGATGAGACTCAACAAAAACAAAGAAAAAAAATCCAATCAAAAAATGGGCAGAAGAGCTAAAAAGAAACTTCTCTCTGGGCCTCCCCGGTAGCGCAGAGGTTGAGCGCTGGGTTGCGAAGCTGCCCGCAGCCTCTGCGGCGCCGGTTCGATCCCCGGCTGCTCCCCGGGCACCGGAGGAGGGTCCCACATGGCGCGCAGACCTCTCCTGCCGCCCGCTGCTCCCCTCAGCAGTGTACTTCGGTCCTTCTGCCTGCTCTGCTCCCCTCTCTGGCTCTGGTGGATTCTCTCACCCTCCCGTGCTTCTGACTGTACCCAGTGCATGTGTAAACAAAACAAAACAAACAAACGAGCAAATAAATAAATAAAAAACATGCCTCTATTAAAAAAAAAAAAAAAAAAGTTTAAAAAAAAAAAAAAAAAAAAAAAAAGAAACTTCTCTGAAGAAGAAATGCAAATGGCCAGCAGGCATATGAAAAAATATTCAACATCACTTGTCATCAGGGAAATGCAAATCAAAACTACCATGAGATACCATCTTACACCAGTGAGAATGGCACATATTAAAAAAACTAGCAACAACAAATGTTGGCGAGGGTGTGGAGAAAAAGGAACTCTCCTGCACTGTTGGTGCGAGTGCAAACTGGTCCAACCACTATGGAGAGCTGTGTGGAGATTTCTGGACCTACTAAACATAGAGCTTCCATATGATCCAGCAATTCCACTCCTAGGTATTTACCCAAAGGACACAGAAACATCAATTCCAAAGAGCACCTGCACCCCTATGTTTATAGCAGCGCTATTTACAACAGCTAAGCTTTGGAAACAACCCAAATGCCCAAAAATAGATGACTGGATCAAGAAGATGTGGTACATGTACACCATGAAATATTACTCAGCATTCAAAAAAGATAAACACATGCAATTTGCAGCAACATGGATGGCGCTGGAAGGGATCATGCTCAGCGAAATAAGCCAGAAAGAAAAAGAAAAATACCGGGTGGTCTCACTCATAGCAGGAATCTCGAAAACTTAAATAAGGGACCAGGAAAAAGAATAACTATAAGAAAGAAAATATCAAAATCAACAAACAACTATGAACAAGAGACATTCTATGGGGGTTGGGGAGAGGGGAAAGGAGGGACCGCGGTAAAAATAAGGGGGTTGTAATTGTATAGGGAATATAAAAATAAAATTTAAATTAAAAAAAAAAAAAAGAATGTATTCATGGGGCCTCCCCTGGTGGCGCAGCGGTTGAGTGCTGTGCTGCAAAGCTGCCTGCAGTCTCTGCAGCGCCTGTTCAATCCCCGGCCACAGGTGAGGGTCCCAGATGGCGCGCAGACCCCTTCTGCCGCGCCTGCTGCTCCCCTCAGCAGTGTTTCATCCATCTGCCTGTTCTGTTCTCTGCTCCGGCTCTGGTGAATTCTCTCACCCTCCCGTGCTTCTGACTGTACCCAGTGCTTGTACAAATATAAAAATAAATCTTTTAAAAAAAAGAATGTATTCATGCACTTTTCCAAATAAGTACATGAAATAATGTTCAACATCACTTATAATCAGGAAAATGCAAATCAAAACCAAAACGAGATATGACTTTGCAACAGTGAGAATGGCACATTTAAAAAAATCTATCAACAACAAATGTTGGTGAGGATGTGTAGAAAAAGGAACTCTCCCATACTACTGGTAGGAATGCAAACTGGTCTAGCCACTATAAAAAGCTGTGTGAAGGTTCCTCAAACTATTAAAAATGGAGTTACCATATGATCCAGCAATTCCACTCCTAGGAATCTACCCAAAGGACACAAAAACATTAATTCAAAAGGATGCCTGAACCCCCCCCTGTGTTTATTGCAGCACTATTTGCAGTGGATAAGATATGGAAACAATCCCAATTCCCAAAAATAGATGAATGGATCAAGATGATGTTGTATATATATACAATGGAATCAATCAAAAAAATCAATCAATCAATCAGCAATCAACAAAGATAAACTTAGGCCACTCACAGCAACTTGGGTGGAACTAGAAGGGATTATGCTCAGTGACATAGGTCAGATGGAAAAAGAAAAATACTGGATGGTTTCACTTATAGGAGGAATATCGGGGAACCAAATAAAGGATCAGGAAAAAAATAATAAATTAAAAAACATTTAACAGGCAACTATAAATCAGACATTCTGCAGGGGAGGGAGAGGGATCAAAACAGGGGAGGGATTATGGTGATAGTGCACAGGTAAATTGGTGGTGGGAATTATAGCTCTTAAACTATTTTGTGGGGAAGGAGGATGACCAAAGTTTATGAAATATGGTATTAATATCCTGAATCTATAGAGGACTCCTAAAACATTAAAAAAAAAAAAAGCCTACCTCATTCAAAACCTAAACAGACATTTCTCTAAAGATAGACAAATGGTGGGTCAATAAGTACATGGGAAGATACCCAGTGTCATGACTCATTAGGTAGATGCAATTCAAACTAAAATAAGATTACTGCATGCCCACTAGGATGAAAACTTACATTAATAGAGCAGAAAATAACAAGTATTGAAAAGAACTGAAGTAATTAGGAATCTTGCATAATTTTGCTGGTACTGAAATGGTAAAATTGCTGGAGAAGACAGTATCATAGCACCTCAAAATATCAGAAATAGAAATATGAAATGATACAGCAATTCTACTTTGAGGTATAGACCTAAAGGAATTGAAACCAGGGTATCAAAGAAATAGTCAAATACCTATTTTCACAACAGCATTATTCACGATAAAATACAGAAGGAACCCAATGTCCATCAACGGATGAATGGTTAAGACATGGTATATACGTACAATGGAATATTATTCAGCCATAAGGAAAGAAATTCTGATGTGCTACAAAATGGATGAAATATGAGGACATTATAAGTGACTGAGCCAATCACAAAAACTTGAACACTATGATTTCACTTAAATGCTAAAATGAAGTAGAGTGGCCAAAATCGCAAAGATATATTTGTTTTTTTTTTTTTTTAAAGATTTATTTATTTATCTAAGCACTGGGAACAGTCAGAAGCACGGGAAGGTGAGAGAATTCACCAGAGCCAGAGTGGGGAACAGAACAGGCAGACTGGCGAAGTACACTGCTGAGGAGAGCAGCGAGCAGCAGAAGAGGTCTGCACGCCATGTGGGACCCTCGCCCAGCAGCTGGGGATCGAGGCAGCCGGGGATCGAACCGGCACTGCAGAGGCTGCAGGCAGCTTCACAACCCAGCGCTCAATTGCTGTGCCACCGGGGAGGCCCGCAAAGATATATTTGAATAGTAATTCAAATATATTGCCAGGGGTTGGGGTGAAGGAGTTTTTCAAATACAGGATACAGGCTAGCTAGCTACTGGAAAGAGAAGAAGAAATTAATTGAATATACAGTTAGTTTTACAAGATTAAAAGTTATGGAGATGGATGATGGTGATGGCAACACAACACTGGAATGTGTTTAATCCTAGTGAACAGCAGACTTAAAAAAATGTATGTTGTGTTGATATTATACATATTTTATAATAAAAAAGCAGAAATAAAAGTTATTGATAGCATCTTTCTGAAATAATGGTACAGAAAGAACTAAAGTATAATGCTAATGCTTTTCTATCTTTAAGGTTCAAGTGCTGATATGAATTAGGGTAGAACTAACAGTTTAAAAAAAAAAATCAACAACAAAGAACATCACCAAATCTCTATTTTAAAAAGTAAATCTGGTATCAATGCAAAATACAAATTTCAGTATGTAGAAGAAAAAGACTAAAGGAAATGAGTAAGCACAGAAAGAGGAGGCCATGAAGGTCCCTAATAAGACAAGTGAGAGCACAATAGATACAGGCATGTTTGGCTTGGTAGAGAGAAAATGAGTTAGACATGATGAACTTACAGGGAAAGTTGAGCCTAAAGTTTAAGAAAATGGTACTGCATTAAAGAAACAGTTCTGGACCTCAACTACATATATACT